CAGAAAATTGATGCACCTGAACAAACAAATTGAAGTGGAAAAATGAGATGTTAATAGGAAGAACGCAGATAAATGGTTTTTAAATTTAAACAAATAAAATTTTGGACCATAAATTTCAAACATTATTTAATTCACCATAATTTTGCAATTTAAATAGTTATTTTAATTCCGATGGAATGCAAATGTTAAAATCACCAATCTAATCTATGCTTCAAACGAATATTTACCTTTGATTAATTATAATTATAGCAGCATAACCAAAGGTTAAAAATATTTTTAAGAGATTTTGAGACATTTGTAATTTTTACGAAAGAGAGAAACTAAAAGCTATACTGACTGAAAGCAATAAACAAATTCAAATATATTCAAAATTTTTGAACGTCCTACTACATGGAATGCCTCACATACTATCTTTAGCTTTTGTCTATAAATTCGAATCGTTGCAGCATGATCTGTTCAACATTAATGCTAAATTTAAATATAGCACATAAGAAAATAAGTATTAGATAAGTTTCATCCCAGTTATCTCCATATTTGCGGCATTTCAACAAACAAATTAGATTCAAAAGAGTCATTGCTATAGAAATGATACACACACCTGTTGTAGAATAATAGGTAAAGGAAGAAAGGTATGCTGATAATTAACAAAACTCACGTTGCTACAGTTTTCATTTTTTCTTTCTTTTTTTTGTAGCGGTCCATTTCGGACATTACATCATCAGTAGTAGATGCGGAAAAGGCACAAAACCTTCAATCATCATTTGATCGGTGACCGATTCGGCCGACACCGCCAAACACAGACCCACACATACACACATGTCCCAATCACTCTAAGACCATTATCAATCAACGAAATGAATTTTTTGAAAAGGTAGAAAAAACTATAATTTAATCGGTGACAAAAATCTGACCTTCGAGAAAATAATGTGCCCAGCACCAATTATTAGACAGTGCAGAAAATTGAGATTAATTTTTTCAAAATCTAGTCAATTTTTTATAAATTATACAATATATGAAAAAAAAAAAAAAAAAAAAAAAAAAGAAACTTATAGGAGGATATGTATTAATTTAAAAAGAAAATATCCGAATAATTTTAGGACAGTCTGTGAAAGTTTTGTAATGTAATCAAAGATTGGTATATCTTCACTGATAGAAAAACAATATGTGACTGTCACAGAGATATTTTTCAACTAGTTGCAAAAATAATCGGAAAATTAACATACTTTTGGTTGAGTTCTGTTCAATCATTCGTTCATTTCGGAGATTTTTCCATCTTGGATTCATCCTTCAATTTGCAGAAGTGAAATTCAACTTTTTAGCTTTGCTTCATTTTATTATCAAACTCGTATTTACATCAATTCATCGCTTAGTGCAAGTACATTCTGCTTCATTTGAAACTAAATTATAGAGAAGTGAGATAATTGAATGTCTCGGGAAAAATAAAATGATTTCAGTTGTGTAACTTACATCTATTTAATTAGATAGTTTATAAATTTTTATATGGGAAATTTAAAATAATAATAATTTTTTTCCTGGAATTCAATAAATAATCAGTTTGTGTAAATTCATTAAAAATCTAAAAATAAAATTATTCAGCTTATTCATTACTTGGTGAGCTATTTATATTTTCCGGTTTAATGAATGTTTTAAAAAAGACTGAACTTTCTGAATTTATATTTTCTTTTTTGCTGAATTGTAGAAGATTTCTTACCATCTTATTGGTCACAAATTGTTCAGTCTATAATAATATCTTAAATTACTTTCAGTAAATTGTTTGATTGATCTTATCAAGTGATTTATACTACATCATCAAATTATGTTGTCATGTCAGTTTAACTTTTGACGTTTGTCTGTGCTTCTCTCTCAATAGATTGTTCATGACATTAGATGGCCTTAGCAGTTTAAAGATTTCATATGCATATTGCTTTATCATAATTTTCATCATGAATTTATCATAAGATAGAACCTATTGCAAGAAATTACACAAAAATGTGCAAAAATTTATTAAAAGTTTAAGAAATTAGAAATGGAAATTATTTTGTGAGAACTTAAAAAGCTTTTAAAACTTAAAGAAATTCGATAATTAATTTTCTTGTTCTATTTTAAAAGTTTTACAAATGCGAAACAATATTGAAATCAAGTTCGAGTCTTAATACTGGACAACTTCTCAACATTTTTCAAAATAAAAGTTAGTTTTAGACTTTTATCAATCACCAAAAGAAGAGTTAAAGTTAGCAAAAAATTCAAAAATATATACATAAACATTTGTGAATCTTTATTGCTTTCTTCTCTATAGAGAAGTGCTTTTATAGACATAAATTCAGATTGTGTTCAGAGACAAGACGGCAAATCTTTTCCTTCCTCATTCTCTATTAATTTAGTACTTTGATGTCACAGATGTCATCATTTAGAGACTGATGGATGCTGAGAGATGAAGGAGGAGCATTCGAATTCAGTGTCCACCCGCTGAATATTTGAATCTTAAGATTAGCGCTAAGTAACCTCGAGGTAATGAGTTGATGAACGAAGGATGATTACATTTTGAATTTAATTGTTTACATGATAATAGTGATTTAAGCCAGTGAAAAACGAGGATTAGATTTGGACAATTTAAAGGATATAGAAAAGATACAGGAAAAGAAGGAAATAAACTCAGCTGGACTGGACGCAGGCAATTTAAACTTTAAATGGTCATTTAGGGTCAATTACTTTACCGACAACCATTGAAAATGCACCTGCTGTCCTAATTGATCATAATTATTCTGGACGAAGACCACTCGTTTAGATGTATTTCAAAATAGTAAAGGAATGGAGAAGGTCGATTCAAATTTAGGATAATTGGTTCGCATCGGATACTACTAATGAACCGAAGAAAATCTCTGAGAGCTCATAATTATAATTGTGAAGGCATTTCACAAAAATCTGCAAATGTTTTTATATTTTTTTCGTGACAGTTTGAGAAGCTACCAAAGGATAAATTTAAGCTGCTATCGGTCATTTGTTGATTAATTTAATGTAATATTTAATTTTAACTGACACAAATTTTCTACCTAATTAAGAAATTCTTGTCGAAACTTCGTTCAATTTTCATTGCACAAAAATTTTTTGCGAAAAAGTAATTAGTCATCAGTGAATCAGTAACCCCTTTGATCATCATTCTACAGCTAATAAATTTGCTGATAAAACAGAATGTTTTGCTGTAAGAATTTCTTAAGCATATTCAATTATTGGTTTCTTAGCCGAATATTTCAAAAAGTAAAAAAAGAAAAAAAACAAAATAAAATAATTATTATAACTTCATTTAGAACAGATGAAGCAAAGAATATTTATACTATTGTGTTGTTTATGAAAGATAACAACAAGGATTCAATTTGAAAGTTATTAAATTAAATAAAGAAATTAAGTAATATTTATGAAAAGCGATCAATAATTCGTGCCAAAAGTTGAAAAAAGCAAAAGGAAGTAAAGGGTGAATAATAACAAAGAATTCGTATAAGATTTTCACTTTTTTCTCATAAAATATTAAAAATTTTTTTTCGTAAAGATTTACTTTAAAAATTTTTTAGTTATTAAAATGTTAACGTTTCTATAATTAAATGATGCTGACCTTTAAAAGCTTTGAGAATGAAGTGAAAAATTTTAATTTTTAAAATTCAAAAAATTTCATTGCAATAACACATAATTGCCATTATGAAATTTAAATAGTGAATGTGTGAGTGCAATATATGATTATCGTCACAAATGCTAATTAATATTTGATACGGTTGCTGGCTGACATTGCTGACGATATGCATGTATGTATGTGTTTGTGTGTGTGCATGTGTGTGTGTGTGTGTGTGTGTGTGTGTGTGTGTGTGTGTGTGTGTGTGTGTGTGTGTATGTGTATGTGTGTGTGTGTGTGTGTGTGTGTGTGTGTGTGTGTGTGTGTGTGTGTGTGTGTGTGTGTGTGTGTGTGTGTGTGTGTGTGTGTGTGTGTGTGTGTGTGTGTGTGTGTGTGTGTGTGTGTGTGTGTGTGTGTGTGTGTGTGTGTGTGTGTGCATCAGTTGGGAGACAGACGAGAATTATCGATGATCGATCGATACGATCGTTCTATTTGCTCCGTAAATTGTCCTTTAGATGAGTAAATAAATACTGTTCCTATCGCTTTCTTCACTTCAATTAATCATATTCCATCCTACAAAGATAACAATGGCAAAAATTCAAATTTTCAAATTGCTCATTATTGCAATTAATTTGATATTCAATGATATGGCTAATAACTGAAGAATTGAATTCATATATTTTTAGCACTATAAAGAAATATTATGTGGTATTATGGTTGGTTAAATTATTATTAAAGTTTGTATTTGATGAAGTGCTATGATATTTAAATTTCATCCTTAACTCATTTATTTTTTTCATTCATTTAACCATTTATTAATTTCATTTTCACAATTTTCCCATTCTCTTTTATCTTCTATGTTTATCTCAATTTTCACTGAAAAAAGCAAAAACAACTAAATTCATGATAATCAATTTTCAATACATGCATCACAGAATTTTTAGCAAATATTGAATTCAAAAATTTGAAACAATTTAAAACATAAATTTCATTTTAATAAAATTTGAAAAATGAAAAAAATGCAAGCACTGATTAAGTTTCTATTCGGCTGTCACCAAGCCGAGCTGTCTGCTATACTTGACAAAGAATCTACATTTTGTCCATGTTCAAATAAATTTTGAAGGTCACTACCAATCGGATAACATTTGTCAATTAATTGAAACGAAACAAAAGGGAAGCAAAATATCAACAAGGTTAGACTGAAGAAATAGTACTGGCATGGAAGAAGATATGGTTGACAAGGACAGGGACGATCCGTTACAGGCGGCAACCGCAGCATCAAAACCGGCTAACACTGGAAAATTCGAATTTTCAATTGCTCCATTACAATAAAATATAGCAGACATCGGCTACTCCTCCAAATGAATGTCCATGAATTTGTAAATGTCATTTTGAATGATTAATTAATGTCCATCAATGACCGCTGCAAGATCAAATAAAGGGGCCAACATTAGTTTATTTTAAATTTGTTGCCTGAAATTTCTTGAAATATGACAGATTTCTTTTTTTTGACTAAGTTATTGCTTTCAAAGCTTAAAATGTAATTATAAATAACTGTTCCACTTTATGTCATTAGCACAAACAAGTTGCTAGACTTAGGTGGATAATTCTTAATGTCGTAATGTGTGTATCTGTATGTGTGTGTGTGTGTGTATGTGTGTGTGTGTGTGTGTGTGTGTGCGTGTGTGTGTGTGTGTGTGTGCGTATATATATATATTTATCCAGCAATTACCATTTCGATGCTGAGCATCCGATACTTAATGTTTGTTTGGAAAGGAATAGTGCTTCTTTCCAGTAAACCTGTAGTAAGTGATCTCTTTTCAGCCATCATTGATTACAAATGATTGTGTTTTATTTTTCAGAAATATTTCAAAAAAATTAGAGAGAAAAGGGTTAATTCCCATTAAAATTAGAAAGTTAAAAATTTTTTATTTTATTTTAAAAGCAATTAAATTTGAAAATTTTAGTATAGTAAGAAGCATAAATGGTAAAAAGTCTGTAAAACAATCAAATTATACGAGGAGAAAGCATCAGACATGCGAGTGTTGCAATTGATATATCAATGATAAATAACGATGAAAACTATCGCCGTCATTTGTTAGAATCAAAAGTATTTCTAATACTTTTTAGCAGCTTTTTGACGGGAAAAGTAAAAGCGTTTACTGTCATTAAATAAGCCATTCTATATGCTTCTTTCCCACCAAATATTTGAATATATATTGAAAAAAAAAAAAAAAAAAGAATTCATATCCGTTTGATTGATATATACATTTATTACATTAGTCATAAACAGCTATGCAAATTAATAGCATTTTTTTTTCTTTTGATGCTACAATAACAAACAAAAAAAACATATCTATTGGTATTTGAATTTTTGGAGCCATTACAGATAGATAGACAATAACAAATATTTACAACCAAGAAAAAAAGTGAAGAGGAAGAGGGAGAGAGAAGAAAAGAGCAAAACAAATTAGTAACTTTTTCATTCGAATTTTGTCACACCTTACATTCACAAAAATATTTGATTGTTGACACCCGTTGTTCAGTGATTTTTTTTATTCTTTAGAACTTTGCAAGGACATGCCGCAGAATGCACTGAGAAATGATTTATCAATTTCGCATGTTTTTATTATATTGAATGGTAAATGAACTGTGAATTGTTTATTGTGTGGTAATTAGAGAGGACAATTTTGGAAAGTAAACAATACTTTGATATTCCTTGATTCAAGCGAAAAAAGTCTGCTAAAATTTTTTTGCCAATTTAGATAATCAAGTTATAAAAGCTCAGTGGGAATGCAAAAATTTAATACATAATAAAATTAATTTAAGTGAAATAGCATTAGAAATTGATATTTAAATGCAAAAAATATGTTTCTGATGCGATTCAATCATTAATGAAAGCCAAGCTTTAGTCTAAAGCTCCAGACTAAACAGCCATTTAGCAAAATTCACATTAAATTAAAAAAAAAAAACTTCAGGTAAACAGCCAAATATAACTTAAAGCAGTATCTTAGGGATTAGCTTAGGGATACTTTCAGTGAAATTTATATAAATTTTTGATGAAACAGCAAACTTTGAATTCAAATTAAAAGAATTTATTCAACTGAATTGTTCTAAAATTTCAAAAAAAGAAAGTAGGCAAGCAATCCTAATGACTAGAATTAAATGCATTAATGATAAAGTGAAGTGTGATATGTAATTCACGAGAAGAGAATGGAAACTAACGACTTTTGACCTCATTGTTACATATGAAATATTTGTGAAGAATGGAAGTTGCATGTCACAATTTTACTTATATATTATACTTTTTTATCTCACTTTTTTCTATCACGAATGCAACTACCTTCCATCGGTTATCTGAAACGCAATTTTTTTTTTTCTTTTAAAATATGAAAATAATACTACAACGTGAAATCTGCAAATGCATTTCTGCAATAACCAATGTTTTTTGAAAACAAAAGTGTTTCTTACTTCATAGTCTACAATATGCTTATCATTGCAGTGCAGTTTTGTCAGCTTTTACTAATTTCATATTTTTAAAAAAGAAGTGCAAAAATTGTGCAGAAATGAAAGTAAAAATTTTTCGATATAAAGTTAAGGCGTTTTCTTGCTTGCTAGTTTCACTAATCCCTATTTTATTGTTTAATTTATTTGTCTTATATCCAACAAGAACTATAAAGAATAAAAATTTGAATTAAGAAAGAATTTTATTTCTACTTGAAAAGATTATGAAATAGGATTTTTTATTATAAATGCAAATTATGGTGCTGAGATGGCAAAAAAATCAATCATTCACTTCTGTGATCTTTGAATCAGTGACGGTAGGGGTAAATCAAAACAATTCTCAACTTTGATCCTAGCTTTGAAGACAATATAAATTGCATTCCTTGAAGAAATCAAAGTCGACGCGACAGTATAGAACAAGTTAATTTTGAAATACAAGAGCACTTAACTATTTATTTATTTGAACTGATGGGAAATGGTCAATAGCGGAAAGTTCGCACAGTGAATTCAATTATAGGACCTATCTATACGGTAATAACACGGCAAAAATTAGACCTTTAATTATTGATTTTTTCTTTTTTCTCTTTACTCTATATAATTTTACCATCTATACATAATTACCACTGATCACTTGTTCCTTGATTATCTTTTTACTATTCAAGATATCTTTTCTCTGAAAGAGGAAAACATGAGGTTCTACACTTTTTGATTCGATTAGCTACAGTGATCTGCAGAAAATATTTCATTTGAACAGTGAATCTTTTTTATCTTATTTTATCTGATAATTAAAGAAATTCACTGTCGCAAAGAATTAAAGTTCCATGGATTTTAAGCCAATAGCTCTTAAATGACAACAAATACAGTCAAAAATTTAACCTCATTGAATCCTTAAATCAAAGAAGATATTAAATATACTTGGATGAATGAAATCAATTCATTACTTGATTTTGCAATTCTCTATTTAATGTTCGGTCTTGGATTTTTGGTCATTTAAATGATATCAAAATTATATATCACAATATGAATTACCAATCTTCTATGTTCATTAATGGAAAAATTTTTGCTGGTATATGGAGGGAAGGTCATCTGAATTCTTTAAGTATTCCTTGTCCCTTTATCGTTTCTGGGAAACCAATAGTGTCCTCCTCATTTGTTCCTAAAAAAACAAATACCTTCACGGTTTTTGTGGACAGATAGGTTTGCTCATAACGATTTATGCATTTATTATCATTTTATGGTCCAATTTGGAGGTGTCAAAATTCGGTTCAGTGATGGATGAATTAACTGAAATTTATATATATATATATATATATATATATATACATTTTCATACCGGATTGTTGTCTTTAAAGGAAGTTTGTTGGACTAACATTTCGGATTATAAACCTATCGTAACTTTTAAAAATTGATGAATTTTATCTCAGAAAACTATATATATATATTGTTCTTCTAATTAACACAGCTGTAGATAAAGCTGTGTCTTCCTTTTAGCGGAATGTACTTGTTGTCTAATGAATGCAGATAAGAGCTTTTCAAAAGCTAAAGTAATCACCGAAATTAATGAAAATATTTTCCAGATCCAGCACATTCAAAAAAGCCAATATATAGACAGGTAAAATGTACGCAGATGTGAAGTGCATAATGTGATAAGCTGATAGTTACTTTATTACTTTTTATGTTTTTTGACATCGTTCTTTGAAATATTAATTGATGCAAAGTTAGTACTTAAAAAAAACTTTCCTTGGTAATATTTAAAAATAGATAAATAAGCATGTAAATGTTGATGATATTATATGTACTCTTTTAAAACAGTGTTATTACATAATTTTTTATAAATGAAATGACCCAATGATCCTTCTAAAAAAAAAAAAAAAAAAAAAAAAACCTAGGCAATTAATAAAATGCAACGAAAGCATCATAAATATATTACAAAAAGTACTAACTGACAAAATGTTAAAAAACTGCGTTTACTGAGAGAAGTTTGTTGTGAATTAGGTGATAAGAGTGAAGTGTCGTGAATCAAGTGATAAGAGTAATTAGAATGTGGCATGTTAATGCAGATAAATCTCTTTTTGTTTTAAATAAATTTTCCAGTGATAAGACACACTGTGTCACGTTCGAATGCCGTCCACATTTTCTCATCTAATGAATAGCTGGTCAAAGGTCGAAGAGCCTTACCTCATGAATACAGTTACAAAGAGACAGAGACAAATGTTTCATTAATTCTGCTTGTTATATTTTTCTATTCAGTTACAATTCTGAGGGACTAAATTAAGCTTTTCAAATTATTTTAAAATGTAATAAAAAATGTGACTTCTTTCTCCACTGGAAAATCACGAGATCAATTTGAAAACTTTTAGTATCAAAACTTAACTGACAAAATTTCATCTCAGCGTTGATTTTTTTCGATGTAATATAATAAGAAAGTTTTTTGCACTTTTTTTTAATAATGGAAAAAGTGATAGAAGTGAATGAGGAGATGGAGTTTATAGAAAAAGACATCCAAGAGATTGGAAAATCTCGGGATCAGTTTGAATTGCATTGTTTGTACTCTGAAAGGCAATTTATCTAACAGACTGAACTAAAAATAATGTTGGGCAATAATAAAATTCAAAATTTTACAACATTGTGTTGAATTGCCATCACGTATTTTTGAATACTTTTGAATCTCCATTTCCGGATGTTTCTGAATCTTCGTTCTTGATTGCATCTGAATCTTTTATTGCCTTCAGTAATGATTCCATCCTGAAATGCAGATTTTTTGTATATCTAAAGGCACTGCTCGATTGAAAATGCCTATTATTCAATTCTAAGACAAATCTAAATTTGAATTTTAAATTTGATTCAGCGATTACAAATAACATGGAGAAGCGATTCAATTTGATGTAAAAGCTAAACAAGCTAACTTAATTTTAATTTCAAAATTGGGAAGTTGCTTGCCCGTCATTATTTGGCCAAATTATTCATTTTCAAATTCAAATTTTAAGCGCGCTGAGAGAATAGTGCTGCAATGTGTAGAGCGTCACATAGGTTCTATCTGGAAATTTAAATTTTTATTTGAAATTTGTCTGGCGCTTCGTGCATGTGTGGTTTCTTTCTCCTTGTTGCTTTGATCTTTTATTTAAAAAATTTGGTTAGGTTATGTTTACATTAAGACTTCACGTGTACCACGTTTACCACGGAAACCTCTGCTAATGGCCGGAGACAATTGAATAATTATTCCGGCCATTACACAGTGCAATGTAGTGATTATCGATTGAAATAGCTCCCTCCATGCAGCATTTTTAAATTGATGACCATCTTGTTCACTGTAGAATGATTTAGTAGGGTTCATTTGGGAGCTAGGAATATTATGGTTATTGATAGTGTAGTTAGATGGAAAAGATATGAAATGTTTCATTTTGTCTCATTTGTGTATGAAGACGTAACTGTGTTCTTGAATCTAGTAGCTTTTGTTTGGATTTATAGTAGCATTTTATGTAGCATGATTTCCATCATACATTTGTAAAAACTAAGGAGGAGACTTATCTGATTGTCAGTTCTTTCTAATACCATTGTTAAAGTTAATTAGTGAAGAATGAATATTTCAGTTTGAATTATTTACAGATATGTCATTCAGCGGAAAACCAACAAATCATGATATCTGTGAACAGGAGCAGCTTTGCATAAATATTTCGGATAAGGATGATAAGGATAAAGATGACCAGTTAACTCCGAGGCATCGAACACATGCGGATACAGCAAAAATAGAAAATGGAAACAGAATCACGGTGACACCTGACACCCTAAGCATAGGCTCAAGAATTATGCAGATACTTAATTCAGTCCATAAGAAACCGGTATTGTATTTGATGTTATTCAAAAGTATTCGGCTTTCAACGATTGAAACATAATTTTAAGAAATATTAAATAATTTGAAAGGTTCTTGACAATTAGGGGTAATGGCAGTGTTTTGTATATAATAAACTGCACAATGAAGTAAAAAGTATGGAGCTGTGGCTTCTCTAAAACTTCTTTATGCACCTCATTAGTTAAGAACTGACAGCTGTGGCTAAGTTATATAATTCATAATGTGTATTTCCATAATGCATATTTTTTTCAATGCTATCTAATCTTTAAGGCAACTCCTGATTACACCAGAATATCACATCATCGTACATGCCAGCAAACCTCCTGTCGTTTACTACGTTTCCCAAATAACGAACCTCCGAAAGGCCCTTTTTTTATAAGTTTTAAAAAAAAGCCAGGTTGTATTTATTTTTTGGTTAGCCATAATAAACAGTTAATAAAACCTATCTGTTGTAAAGTTATATATTTACTTCAGTTTTATCTTCACTTGTTCCTTTTATCACTGTTCGTGCAATACCAGAACAATTTATATAGGAGTGATACGACGTTATTTTCAAATTAATAAATAGAATTAATAAATTTGATTCATAAGTCAAGAATATATTTGCTTGCAGTAGTGATCGAAACAAATTACTATAATGAAAGTTTTCGCTCGAGTTTTTTTGATCAGACATTCTTGAACCCACGATGTATCGGAAAGGGTTCATTTGGTGAGGTAAGGAAAAGATTTCTGTTATTAATGAATTTCCTTTCGGATTAAATTGTTAACTGAGAAATTAGAGCGAATTTTCTAAATCGTCTTATTTAAACAAAGGCAAAGAACAGTAATAGTGTGAAACGAAAATTAAGGAACTAACTGATTAACGTATTTCAGGGTGCTTAAAAATAGTAGTTTGAAATTGTGGCGTCTGATTTTGCATTTAACAGTTTAACTTTTTATTCATTATTTTCGCAAATATTACGAAGAAGAGGTTAACCAATAATTCACAGATCGTTCATTATATTTTCAAAAAAATTTTGCAGGTTTTCAAAGCATTAAGTAAAGATGATAAGCGTTGGTATGCAGTTAAAATTACCGTGGAACCATTTCGAAGCCCAGCAGATCGTGAAATTAAGTTGAGGGAAGTTCAAAAACATGAATTGCTTCCAAAACATCCAAATCTTGTTTCATTTGTGCGAGCATGGGAAGAATATGGTTTCCTATATATACAAACAGAGCTATGTCAATGCAGGTTCTTTTTTCGAATGAACATTGACGTAAAATGAATTTGGGAACTACAAAGAGGCTGTGTCCATATATATGTATGAATTGTCACGGAATTATTTTCAGTCTGTTGGATTACAAGATGAAAGTAGGAACTATTCCCGAGAGAGACTTATGGTTTTTTTTCGGAGACATTGCATTGGTATGATATTTCAAATACAAATAAATAATCTGAGATATATATCTATCTATCGTTTTCTTGATTTGCTAATTGTGATTTCTTTCCTTAATGTTCTTCCCATCACGTATATGAGAAAAAGATTGCATTTGAAGCCTGAAATCTTTTTGTTAGTATTGGAATTTTTTAGCTATCCATAGTAATTATTAAAATCCATCATTTTGTCAGGCAGTGTGCTATTTACATAGGCATGAACTTCTTCATGTGGATATCAAACCGCAGAATATTATGGTTTCTTTTGAGGGAGTTTGTAAACTTGGCGATTTCTCTTTAATTGTTGATCTAGAGAAGGTATACTTTTGATTTTCTTCGTTTTAAATCTAGTACAATGTCTAAAATTTTCAGTTTATCTGGTAATTTTTGCTTCTTTTTAAGCATTCGAGGGAAGAAGAAGGAGATGGAAAATATTTGGCACCTGAAGTATTACAGAAAGGAGCTCATAAGCCAAGTGACATATTTTCGCTTGGAATGACAATGATTGATATTTGCACTGATCTTGAATTACCTAATTCAGGAGATCTTTGGCAGGGATTTCGATACAAAAACATTTATCATGAATTTATCGAAGGCATTTTTTTAAATTTTCATTAGGCAGTTTGATGTTTTTTTTTTTTTTTCTTTTTAAAGACAAAATATTTTTCCTTACATTAAAGTACACTTTGCTGTTGTAGATGTTCCACCCGCTTTGCTGGATATTATTTTGCTTCTTCTAGAAACAGATCCTAACAAAAGACCTACCGCTGAGGAAATTTGTAACATTCCAATGATAGCAAAATCCATTCGTGAACGCCAGGTATTATTTGTTTAGGTTACTGTTCAATTATCTGTGTATTTGCTTTGCTCTGACTTTTATTTATTTGTTATTGTTAAACTATATGTGGTGCTCTAATCACTGAATTCACTTTTCAGTATAAATATGTTAAGCGCAACATGTGGTGGATGCTATTAGCAATTGCTTATTCAACGCTTCTCGCATCTTCATGGATTGTACAACCGACACGTACTACTATGATGCATGCAGCAACTTATCTAAAAAGAATGTATTCATATCGTTGTCAATGTTCTGCATTTCATCATATCTTTCGACCTGTAAGGAATCAGAAATGCATGATTGATTTTATATAACAAGTGAAATCCATCAAGTGAAACATATAATTCTGTCGAAAGTTGAATTATTTTTTTGAGTAACGTTCTTTTTTCTAATAACACTTTAATATGATGATTTCAGACATGTGGTGAGTCTCCGATGTTCAAATATGGAATTATTCCTCGGGTCAATGACTCTTCACGGTTGCAATTGAAATTTGAGGAAGACGACGATGGTGGTTTCTTAGCTTTTGCTAAAAAATATGGAATTAATATAATAAGGAATCAGAGCAATGTTTTAATGTGACTTTAGTAATCTCTTTAATAATTTGTTAAAAAGTTACTACATATTTAAAAGGTCACGGGTAATCTTGGTCTAATCTTTTTTTTTCTTGACTAGTTATAATTTTATGTTTGAGATTATAAATATGATGAGGCCGAAACTGACAGTGGTGACAAAATGGAGACTAGTCAAAGTGAAGATGAGCTGGTTAATATAATGGAAACATCTGTAAGCGAAGAACTACATGATGAATTTGAGGGAGTTTCAAGGATGGATATTGATATCCCCTCTCCAAGTAGTATGGAAAGTGTTCGTGAATTTATACAAAGTATTCTTTCAGTTTTTTTTTCGACATTTTCTTCACAAATTATTCATTATATTTGCTGTACTTTTTTTTTTTTCAATTTTGCAGATGATTATGGTGAAGATACAAATAGTTTAACTAACTTGTTTCATAACAAAGCTAGTTTCTGTCAGTTTGGAGCAGCAGGTGATATTCTTAAAAAGTGAGTCTCAAGCCTTTCAAATTCATTTTATCATTTTAAAATCTGCATGCGAACCGTCATTTTTTTGTTTTGTGGATTCTATCTGTAAGCAAATTAAACAAATTTTTAAACTTAATATCATTTTTGTGTTTAATGCTGTCGTCAGCTCTCATTTAGTGAATAAGATGAATATATTCTTAGTGTTAATACTGCATTATTGCTTACATTATGCAACTTTTGGTAAATTTTAAAAATCTTCTTGCTTTTCTGTATTTTCAGTGGAATTAAAACTCTACTGCTACTGAAAAATAGGAATTTTTGAAGGTTAATGACAGTTGATATATATATATATATATTTTCAGATACGACTGCAACACTTTAAATGGGGAAGAAATTTCAGTCGAAAAGATCTCTAACAAAGTAATCATTTTTCTTCATTCTTAATTCATTTTTAGTTTTATGCAGTTGTGAAGAATTTTAATTACACTGATTTTTTCGGGTGTTTAGTTTTGGTTGGAAATTCATCAAATATTTTTAATTTTGCAGGAGAATAACTTTACACCAGAAAATTTTGAATTACAACGGAATATCTCTGCTTGTGACACTTTGGAGTACGAAGATCATGAACTGCCTAGTACATCAGAAAGTATGTCTGGTAAGAGATGGTTTCTTATTTTTTAAAATCTTTTGAATTAAACTTTTCTTTCAATATCTGAGAGCAACTACAAATTTAAAATTTTAATATTTTCGTGGAACACTTAATAAATTTTTCGATCACATATGAAAATGTGAGATTAAAAATGTGAATGCATTGGATAAATCTATTTTGCAATGTCTAGTGGGCAGGAGCCAGGTCATTAGTTGCGGGTTTTTCCTTATTGCTCTATTCTATTTTAAAATATAATATTGTAATTTTAAGCAAGTTCAGGTTTTTTAGACAGACCAAGGTCTCCAGAACTTCCACTGTCTGACGAAGCATCTCCCTTGCGTGACGGTTACATAACACCACCAAGTAGTACTTCACCTTCACCCTTCGTTTGTAAAACACCTGCACGAGGACGGTTTGATGATTCAGACGAACAGAGATTGCGTCACTACTATTGGTGGCGTGAGTCGTTCAGATCACCCACCAGGAGAACTTATCAGGAAGCAGTGGAAACTGCAGGTGACATCTCTGAATATAATTAGTAGTGCAATACTTTCTCAGCAGTGAAATTTGGCTTTATTTCTGTCAATTAGCTTTTAGAGTTGGCATATAGTAGGTTAAATGTAATTTATTGGTCAATCTAATCACTTTTAGTAGTGCACATTCTAGGCTCAAAAAATAATGCATCGCTAGAAGCGCCAAATGAAAATCAGCCGTTAGAATTAGAAGCAGGATTAGTCCAATCCGTTGGTGATGCAACTCGTCGAAGAGCTTATTTTCACATATGTGAACCATCACCACCGGCAAAACGAACTCAGATTACTAATGAAGATGATACTGGTGCTAATAAGAATCACACAGATGATTCAAAGTCAAGACATCAAGCACATGTGTAAAATGACTTATGCGACATACAGCTTGCAAATCTGGAATCAAACTGAATCATAAAAGAACCTTGTTTTTCTTTCATATTAATAAAATTTGTTGTTTTTATTTTCCTGACTTTTACAGTTATAATTGGAATCTCTTAAATGAATCGTTCCAGCGCTGAATCTTATCATATAATTAGGGAACAAAAATTGGCCCACAAAAAAAAATATATTGAATGCGGAATTGCAAGACGGAGAGAAGGTCAAGACGAGTTTGGAATACAGGGCATTTCAGAACTGTTTCTTCATTTTAGCAATTTTATTTACTCACCTGTTATTGATTTGGTTATTTTCAGTAATAGGATGTGTAGTAGCAAATAGTAATAATGATCGGTCTGTTCCAAAGTTGAATTTGTTTTTATGAACTTGCTTGTTTTATAGTGAAATTGTTTCGCTAGATAATTTGTATCATGAAAATTCTTTTCCAGGTAAACGAAATTGACAATTCTGGTTTACGACATTTTTGCAGTAAGTCATATGTCATATGGGAAATCTGCATAACTTATATAATTTCATGATATAAAGTTTTATTTAGCAAGGGTCCATTTTTTTTTTTTATTCGATTTTTTGAAGATTTCAATTGTGGGATTTTGTTTGAAAAGTATACTGCATGCAGGAAGTATATAATGAATAGGCATTTTGGGATTTGTTGCTGCTTTTGCATTCATCTTATTTTAATTTGTCGCTGAAATTTGGCTCGTAAACCAAATATATGTTATGAATTTAATTTGACCACAGACGTTGTTTGAGGTTCTCTAATTCAACCTTAATTTTTCAATACATGATTAAATGACCTATACTCTTCGAAATAATTTCAGTCTGTTTACGTCTTTCACCAATGAGCACATATTTTCTAGACGTAACAGTTACAACACCTTTGATGTCAATGCTTTTCATTGTTTAGAATTCATTTAACAGATTTGATTGGGTAGGAATAATACTGGTCAACTTAAATTCATATAAATTCTTAATATAATTGCATTTGTTCAATTTGATTTTGTTGCAATACGATATTTTTCAGTGCATCATATTGTATTATTATTGCGTTTGCCGCATAGTGGTAGACGTCACCTCTGATCTTACAGGGAAAATGAGGTAGTGATTTTGCCAGTTGTCTGGAATTTGGCTTCAGTTTCTAAAAAATTCCAATTAACATAGCAGTATTTTTTCATACTCATTTAATTTCACTTTGTTACTTGTTTCTGTGCATATGTACGGATTATTCTAGTATTATTCTACTCAGGTATTTTATTTTTTCCATCCATTAGTTATTGTATGTTCTTGGGCCTTTATTCCAAACTTCTTAAGGGATTTTTAAGAACTCAGAATAAATGGAAATGTTGGAATTAATTTGAGGTACTTAGATTTACGAACTGCAGTAACTGAAAAATTTTAGTTTAAAGTAGTGTGAAATTTAACCATTAGAGTCATTCGGTGTGTCAGACAGATCCATTCGCCATGTAAAATATTCTAAATTTTTAAAAATAATCTTGGTCGGACATTCGTTTTAATTTAATTTGTTTCCTGGAACAGAGTGGACGGTAGACTTCTTTGAGTTGATTAGATCTGCCTGGACACATTTTAGAACATGGCCTCACTAATCGTAATATGATATTGGCTCGCAGGTACCTCAAGTGGCCTATAATTTCATCCTATTGAAATTTTTGGATGGGAAAGATTCGATAACTCAATTTTTTTAACTTTTTTTCTAACAATCTAGTTTCATGTTTGTCTGCAAATTTCACTCCGATCTCTGTCATTATTATTTCTGCATATATCTTCTTCATTAATTGTACAAATAACCTTTGGACCTAATTTTTTTTTTGCAAATACTACTGAAAGCACTGCAGTGTCTCATTTATATTACTCGGTGCTTCTATTTACTTCTTTCATTTTATTTATATCATATCAAGTCCTTCCATATAGGCATCCACTTGCTTAACACATCAGTTGCGCCTATTATTCCTCATGTAGTCATCTGTATAAAACAAATTATTTGTTGTTTAAAGCATATGAAGAAAAAACACGGAATGTTGCCCTTTTCCATATGTCCGGACAAGCGGATTATTGATGTAATATTGCTATAGAGAAGTTTTAGGTAGTGCTTGTGTAATTGTTCCTCGGTGTTAATTTGAGAATTTTAACGCTACCGCTAATAACTATACACTAATTAGTTGTTTAGGAACCAAGTTATGCTAACGTTAAAATTAATCCACTTATAGAATCATTCAAATCGTGTCATAACTTATCTGCGATAGTTAACTTTTGTTTATTATGAGAATTCATTATGAAATGAATTCCACAATACAAAAGTTCTGTGACTGTTTATTCGGCATTTATTGCTTGTGAAAATACTAATTCAAAAATGATTCAACGATAACGTCTCTATACTAGAAAGGCATATATTTTCATAGGAATGCCGAATTCCGAAGCTGGACGTCTTATACTGCTAAATTTAAATGAAATTCAAATTAGATGGCGATATTTCATAACAGCCATCTTACAAGCTCATTGCTGAGAAACGGTTATTCCACTGGGAAAAAAGGAACGGCTTTCTTTTCAGCAAAAATGACAATGATGATATACGGTCTGTCATTCATTTTCTATGGTATTTATGATGATTATTAGTGTCCAATAAAATATGTTAATGATGTAAATTTTACTTCAACTGAGAGACGTCACCAATTTTTAAATTTTCATTCCTCGATGAAACAATTAGATAATTACAATAATGAATTTGGATAAAATTCAAATAATCAAACTGAATACAAATGGCGTTGTGAGATATATAAGCGAGGAAGGCTTTTCTATATCGATTTGCCACTAGTCAAACTAAGCCTATGTGTTTGTTAATTCGAGTCTCAATTCCTAAAGCAAGCCAGGTCTACTTGTATTTTCCGATGTTATTAAAAAGGAAAAGTTGTTTACATCATTTTATTGCCACTATCATTTCATCAAGCTTTACACTATCTAATGAATCATTTGATATATTTCAAATTGCTATGGATCTCTCTGCCATCCTCTATTACTTCTAAAAAAAGAACTTAAGACTTGATGATTGTCATTGATTCGCTTTCTCATATCACTGTGTTATTCCTTCTTTATCAATGATCTTGACCTGATCCAACACAAAGCTGTAAACGAATTTCTCTTATTTTAGTAGCAAATTTTTTTGTTCCAATTTAAAAAAATATTTGGGGAAAATATGTAATGCAAACTCCCAAAATCAATCTTGCCGTCTTTACTACAAAGAATTTCAATATAGACGATAACGAGATACAAAATGCACATAGTTTTGCACTCTTCATTGACAGACTGGCAGAAATGCAGTTCACCGATCGATTTCATGATAATCAAAAAAAACAGGTTATCATTTTCCATGTGTCTCTGTTAATTCACGGCATTCACAAATCCTTTTTCATTCTACATTGACAACCTTATTTGACTATTTCAGGTCCACCTAAATACTCCCAAAAATGATACATCGAAGTTCGTAGTTTTTGATAAAGAATTTACTCTGCTATTTTTATCTTCTCTGTGACTATTTCGATTTCATTTATGCATTTTAAGAGCTGTATATTTTCATGTTGAATGTAAAGTTTTTGAATATCATAAAGTAAGTCTATGCTTCTAGCATCAAAATGTTTTTTGTTTAGAAGGAATATCTAACCCTCTTTATCGGCATAATACACACACATATTTAAAATAAATTCAGTTTTTTTAACCATTATTTTCGTTAGTGGATTTAGTTTTCTTTTTTTTTCCTGTTGTGAATCAAATGAATTCATTATATTTCATTTTTACTGCTTTTATTATGTACTTATTATTATTATTATTATTAATTATTATCATCAAATCACAAATTCTTTTCGACATTATCACTTTTGCTTTTACTGCTTCTTAAACAAACTTAAATATTTCAGATTAAGATTTGGAGACTCTGTAATTCTGTTGACAGAAGTTTAAATATCATCAGTTCCAATTAGAATTTTCTCGAATTAGAAGTTCCTGACTGAAGCAAATGCATGGACCCATTTTAAAAGATCCGGTAGCCGTGTTTCTCCTCAGGTTTAGTCCGTTAGCACGTTTAACCATTGTGATTTTTGGTGCTGTGCTGATACATCTCTCTCTAGGAACATATCATACTTTTGGTAAGTTTTCCGATTCTTCTCACTTCTATTTAAATTAAGATTCGGATTTCGTATTTGGTGTTATGATTAGTTGAAGACTGCATGGTATCTTCCTGGATTTCGAATACTGGTTTTTGAACTTCAGGAAATATGCTGCCATACATGGCATCATATATGCATAACAATACAGATCCAACAATAAATCCTGAAATGTTAGTTTGGATACCTACTTTTCAAGGTAAGTTTTTTCTGAAGGTAAGCAAAATCCGTATGATTTCCAAAGATTTGTTGGCGAAATAGAATTCTCACAACATAAACAAAAGTTTTATATTAAATTAGATGATTTTTATTGTTTTAGTATAATTTTTTATCCTGTTGATTCTATTCAAAGAGAAAAAAAGTTGATTGGGACAAAAAGGATTAATCACATTTTTTTTCAGGTTGTTTCCCGTTTGCGATGATCATTGGCGGTTTTATAGATGCTAAATTTGGACTGAGGTTTTCCGCATCATTAGGGTGTATTATCATGACGTGAGTTTTTCATATTTAGGGAATAGTAAGAATAGGCTTGTAAAAGCTAAGTAGAAGTGGAATTCATTGCGGAAACATCATATACAGAATATTCTGAAAATTTCTATATTTCTGTAGAAGGATAAATTCTATTATTTAAGATTTTAGGACTGGTGTTTTTCTGTCTTACTGGACGATCAGGAGATCATTTATAGCATTTTTGGTGACGTATGGAATAATGTTTGGATTTGGACAAGGAATAGCTTATGTTCTTACCGTTTCATGTGTCATCAATGCAAGTATTACTTCTATTCAAAAGATTAAAAATGATGACATGTGGTTGATTAAAATTTGATTATGTTAAACAGATAGTTTTTTATTAAATAAAAGAAACGATACAATCATATAAATATGATATGCTAACAGAGTAGCAAACGAAGTATAATGTCGACTACATGCTTTGTATCATTTTTGCGCAATATGAATGAATGTCTGTAGCTTTCTGACGCTCTTTTTTGATAATAAGTCATCTAGTACAAAATTTACTATTATTGATTTGGTTGTTGTAGTCTGATCTGTTGCACGCCATAGTTTTAGATTAAGATTAGCAAGAACACGAGCAATTTTTTTGCTAGATTTTAAAATACGCCAGAAGTTCTGCTTGATTAACATCTCCAATTTATTTTTAAAATATTATGTTATATGTGACAATTTGACACTCAATAACACAATTAAGAACCATCTCTATATACTTCATGGAATATCATTCATAAGATAGGCTAACAAATTTTTCTTGGAAGTAATCATCACGATATTTCCAAGGTTTAATTGGCAGTAAGGAAAACAGGACTTTCTTCAGTGGGCTCCAAAACATGTTGGATTTGTTAGCGGTATTGTAGCGGCTGGTTTCGGTATTAGTTCATCTATATTTGCTCCACTTCAGACTATCTATCTCAATCCGCTAAATCACAAACCGACTGTATTTGCGTAGGTTTATTAAAGGAATTGATTCTTTAGATTTCCGGGAAAATTATTTAGTATGAAACTCTTCTAATTTTTATTCATCTTCACCTCTTGTTTTCTAATCTGATTATTTTAACCTTGGCTACAAATTAAAATTTTACTGCGAAAGGTTGAAAAATTCAACCATTTCAGTTATTTCACAGACAAAGATGTCATTGCTCGAGTACCATCAATATTTTATACTTTTGCAGTCGTGTATGGAATTATGCAGGCTATTGGTCTAATAGTTATTTGTAATCCCGTTGATGTGGTTAGTTTGGAACATAAAAATTTGTATGTTTGTGTTTGATTGTAGACATTACTCTTTGCAAGAAAGGGAAATGTGAACATAGAATAAATGATTTTTACATAAATTGAAAATCAAAAACATTGAAAATTGAGTAAATTAAGGATAGTTTTTAGGATGAGCAATCGGAAGCACTTCAAATGCAAATTTCAACTTCAGTGTGGAATTGGTTTGATGTTTTTGAAAGTAAATGCACTTCGTTTTCTCATAATATGAAGCAATACACTTATTCAAGATTACGAACATTCAGTCAAGGATCCATAAGGGTACAATTAAAGCTTTGAAATTAATGATTAGAAGATTTAAATATTTATTGTATCAATTTTGGCAAGATTTTTTAAACATTTGATAATTAAAGTTTAGGACTTTCCAAACCTGATCTTTTTCAAAAAAAGGCAAAAATATCTTAGAATCATTGATAGAAAAAATGGTAAATTTATCTCAGGAACAGGAACAGATATCGTTGAGTCCTTTACAAATGTTGCAAAGTTCAACTTTTTATTGGCTATTTTGTGCTCTATTCTGTTGCTCATTTTATGGAAATATGTTTTACAATCTCTATAAGGTTAATAAATAAGTACTTTGTTAATTTACAGTCTTGGAGGTATTTTAATGAGATTTATTGATGCTTATAAGTAATATTCAAGCGGTTTATATCGTCTTAAAACTTCACTGTTTTTGGAATATGCTAACATTTGTTATATATTTTGCTTTCAATTAATTAAAATTTTTGAATTCTGAAATAGATTTTACTTGCAGACATTCGGGGAAACATTCATTGATGATGATATGTTTATAGCTTGTGCATTTAGCATAGCTTCAATATGTAATGCTTTGGCTCGCATAGGATGGGGTATCTTAGCTGATCGTACTAGTTTTCAGGTTTGTTTCATTGATAATGGGAAGATTTCTAAATTTATTTAGAAGCACATAAAGTTTTATGTTTATATTTAAAAAACTGTTTAATTTAACAGGTATTGAATACCTATCACACCTTATAAATTTTGTGTAATGACAACGAAAAGTGCTAATTTCAGGACGACTTTTTCCTTTCTTTTTTAAGGTATCATTGTCATCTGCTACTTTTCTGGCCACAATGTTATTGCTAACAATGCCACTTACTCCAGCCGGTGGGAAATGGATCTATTTTATCTGGGTAAGTGAATCGTAATAATGGCAGTAAATTGAATTCTTCCTGAAAGTCAATAGCATTTTTTAGACAAATATGTTCTATGAATGTAATTTTTTCAATAATCTTACTTCTTTTTATTTGATTTTAACCTATAGATGAATTTATTTCAGATGAATCTCATGTTTATATGTCTAGCAGCTACTCATGCCCTTTTTATAACAGCATCCGTTAAATGCTTCGGATCTAATCATAAATCGATCAATTATGGATGTTTAATTCTTTCCACTGTATGTTCCTTTATTACCCATCAAATCTTTTGGAATTTTGGGGGATTGTTTGAAATTTGATATATGTTTCAAAAAAGTTAATTGTTACAGACATTGAGCGCAATTCTGCTAGCAGTTGGTTGTGAGTATGTTTTAACAGTTGTTGGATATGCGTTCTCCTTCCTTATTACAGCTATTTTGGCTTTTCTTGGTACAGTTAACAATGCATCATAAATTATTCTTTTACAAGATATCTTTTGAATGAGAAAAAGGAGTTTTGAGCTATATCTTAGGTTTAATAGATCACATTGCACTGCAAATGAAAGTGTTGAATGGTTGCGCAAGCGATCTTTTTGTAAATTCTTGAGAGCGATTTTTGTGAACATTTGAAAAGAGGAATGATATCTTCATAACAACTCTTTGGAGATGAACAATATCTTGATTAATACCTAAGGGAACTCATGACAGTATTGAACGGCGTGATGCTTTTGCAATCTTCAAAAGTGATCTCTAAACTTAAATTGTTTGTTTCCTACCTCAAACATTTCGAAATATTAAAATCAGTATCAAATAATGAGTTCATTTAAGTTATTCAAGATTGATTAATTTGCTTAAATTTCAGCATTTCTTTTGGCAATTACAATGCAACGCACCACACGAGGTCATTTTATTACTTGATTATTTTAAACTGTAATATTGCAAAAGTTGTTGATCTCTTTGGTATTGTATGTTTTATATCGGCACTAGTAAATTTTCCATTTTGGTTGTAGACTTCACGTTTTATTTGCAATGCATGGTGAATCTTTAAAAGAAAAGAAAAAACCAGAAGCTTTTGGAAATCGTGACCGTTAATCAAAGAAGGAATATCTATTTCAAGTAGTAGAGGTAATCACTTAAATTTCTGCTGATATGGTTTTTCAAATTCGAATATCTAAAGGATAATCTCAATTTCGAGATGGATGAATTTTATAGAAAATTAAAGTTTGGTTCCGATGATGAAACGTAAGCGAAATTATTTATAAATACTTTGTCACTATGGGCATGCAAATAGCTTTCAGAAAAGCACTTTGCTTAATTAATTCCTAGAATAGTTATGTACGTAAAAATAGTTGTATAGCGTAGGAAATCTAGGATTTAACTCATCTAGGATTTAATATACTCTTTCCAACTAATTTTTTGGAAAAACTTTTTATTGTATTCATTTTGAAATTTATTCTTCAAAACTCATTTCTTCAAAACTTCCGTTCAATGTTTAAAGTTTGCATGCTAGAAAAATCAAAACTAAGTATTGACCAGTAGATTCGAGAACTAATTCAATTATAATATCAGGAACTAGCAATTAATACGGCATAGAAATTCCAACCTATTTCAATACGAAGAATTATTGTTCACACATGGAATATACCAGATTTATCATAATTCTCCGATATTTTCTTTAAATCTTAGCAGTTTTTAAAAGAGAACTATTTTTATATCCAAATTCTAATTTTCTTTTTATCTAAGCAAATACTGAAAATAAGTTTAATGAAAAAAAAAAAAAAAAAATGAATGAGTTAAATTGTTTATAAGAACCGATGAAAAATATCGAAAAAAAAGGAAGGAATCCAATCATCCCGAAAGTTTTCCCACATGGATTATTCTCATTAGTATAATACATTTATTATTCTCACATCAATGTGAAATCACTAAAAGTTGTGCAATAAAATTATTCTAATTATTTACATTTTGAATGATACATTGTCGTCTATTTCTTTTATTCTATCTTCATTTTACACTTTCTTCTATCATTCGTCTATTCATCACTTCATTTCATCCTTTTCATTCTACGTCAATCATATCATTCTTACATTCATAAATTTAGTTCGTTTTTTTTTTTTCTCATTATTTTTTTTTTTACAAATTCAATAGTTTCATGTTATTTTGAGAAATACGTAACAGTTATGGTTTTAGTTTTATAGTTAATAGATACTTTTATACATTTTAACTAGTTCCAAAAATAAAAGCCCATTTTAGCTTATTCAGACAATATTATCATTATCATTATCGTTATCAGCAATAACAATCGAAGAATGCATTCGTCATCATCAACATCCCTTTCATCGTTAACGGATAATTCAAGCACAGATGATAGCGTATGATAGCTAATTCTTCAAATTTTTGATGATATGATACAGTGATTTGAAAATTCATCAAAAATTTCGGAAATTTTTCTTTTTTTTCTCTTCAATTTCTCTTGACTCCTTTCTTCCAAATATTTTTTGAATTTATTATTTCATTCTCTTCAATGATTTCATTAGCTTCCAATCACAATCAATCCAATGCACTGATATTCCAGGTAAATGTGGCAAAATTTCCTGTTAGCAAAAGCATTCCAAACATACCTGACGATGATTATGGCGTGGAAGTAGATGGTGAAATAATTGAGAATGAAGCTGAAGAAGGAGAATGTAATGATAATGATAAAATGGATGATCAATCAGTAAATCAGAAAAAGCTGCTATCTATGCCATTAATATATCAAATGAATCTAAATAAAGTTTGTTTTAAACTTTAAAATGAAGTATTTTAATTGGCAAAAAATTGGTTGAAAGTAACTCAGAAAAATCTAGTAAAAGAATTATAATATATAAAAATATAGTAAAAGAAAAAAGAACTTACTTTTGCGTAATATTTTATGAAAAATAATATTTAAAATAAATATTCGATAAAAAAAAGAAAACCACGAAAGGATGGTAAAAACTATATGCAGTAAGTTTTGTCATCATATTCAAGAGAACCAGTCGATAATCTATCTTTCAGCATTATATTTTTCAGAATTTCTTTTTTCATGTTATTTGACGAAAAGAATAAATATAATAAGTCTTTGATTTAAGAAAAAAATGAAACTTTTTGCAAATTTTACAGAATAAGAATATTCGTGGAACTGTAATTGGTCCATCAGATGAAAATTTTCATCCGGTAAAAGTAAGCGAAAAACTCCGAGAAGCCTTAAATGGTCTTGGTATCACTTCAATTGCTTTTCCAAGTTTAAATTAATTGAAATTAATTGCGATAAAATTTCAAAAGTATAGATGGTGTTATTCATTCTACATATAACTAAACATGTTTATTTCCAAATATTAATGTGCTTAAGTTTTATAATTTTACACATACAATTAATTTTATGTGATATTCTTGACTAAAGAAAGAAAAAAACTTTGCGTCTTAGATACAAACGAGAAGGTAATCATTGAGGTCACGGTGGGTCATAATAATTTTCAACGCCAACAAATTATGAATGCATATGAATGTTTATATTCCAAGGTATTGTTTTTATACGTGCTAATGTGCTAATTTAATTTAATGTCAAGTAATTATTAGAATTTTTAAGTTTGATAAATTCTTCTTTATTATATCATCTATTTACTTACTTAGGATTTACAGTTGTCATAAGTTAGGTGATAAGTTGAAATGTGTTCAATATAATTGCTTCAGAACAATTCGGTCATTTTGCAAGGTTATACTGATCAAAAATGATAAAATTTAATGTCCTTTTAAATTTTAAATTCATCTTCCTATTGTGAAATTCGATTAGTTTGTCCCTTAAGTCTTTAGAGGAATTTGTTACCTTTTTTTTTCTTAGTGATTAGTGTTAATGAATTTTAATTAGCCTTTAAATATGATAAAAAATATATACATTTCAGATGCTAATGGATGACTTAAAAAATGAACTTGGTGGATTTCTTTTGGACACTATTTTAGCTCTGTTTATTCCTACTCATGTCTACTTGGCCAATTTACTCCATCAATCACTTTGTGTATGGAAGGAAAAAAATCATAATTTTATTAATTTTTCACTAAGTTTTTTCTAACTAATAATATTATATCTCTGATTTTTTTTTTTTTTTTTTGGAATAAAATAAAAGTGGCATAATTTTTAAATTTTAGAATAATAAACTGAGTCGTGCTATTGCAGTAGAAATTGCATGTACACGAACAACAACGGTATGTACTTGCATTTATTAAGAAATACTTTGTATTATCACAGATTGGAAGATGTGCTTCGAAATTTTAAGTGCATTTTATGAAATCTCTGAGATATTATTCATGTGTTTTAGGATAAACTGTTTTTTCAAGTTATTAAGGATCTACCAGAAAAAAATGGGAAATTGAAAAAAAAGTGATAAAAATTAACTTTTTCATAATTCAACTTATTTAATTCAAAATTATAAAAATTTTATTAAATTTGCTTTTTGAAGTGTATTATTAATACTCTCCCTATTTCTCAAATTAGATTATAACTTGTTTTTGTTTCTTTATTTGTTAACTTGTAGCAAATGAAAGCAATCAAGAATGCATATCGGACAGCATTTTGCAGTACTCTCGAGCAAGATGTACTGATTAAGGTGGTCATTCTTCACATACTTATATAAGCCGAAAAAGCAAAGACATATTCTGAAGACTTTTCTTAGCATTCATTATAATTTCTATCTTTTTTTACCTTAAATAACTTCTATTGTCTGAGATATTTCCAGGTAGAAGGAATGTTTGGTGTAATGCTTCAATTATTGCTCTGTGAGCCTCGTAATGAGCAAATCAATGAAGCTAATGTGTTGATAGAAGAACATGTCAATCTCATTGTAAAGGTAATTATTGAATGTAAGCGTTGAATTATTTAACAAAATTTTTAATCTTCAAAATAATGAATTTAGACAAGTAATTATATGAAAAATCACTTACGATCATTGCAGTACAATTGTCAGTTATTAATTACAGCTTACAATTGATCATTGCATTGCAAATAGTCATGAATAATTGTTTATATTACTTACTTATTGATTGTTAATTTATTTGACAAACAATTTGTCGATTTATCCAATCAATAATTCAAATTTTTTGTGTAGTTACAAAATTCTTGTGTAGAAGCAAAAGATAATGTATGCTGTTTATCTTGGCTAAGTAAAATTCTGTCTAAATATGAAATTATTTTCTTGAGGAATGGCATAGGATTAGTTGGATCATTATAATTTTTCATCCATTATTCAATTTTAGCATTAGCTTTCTTAATATAGGATTCAAATGGAATCGAAAAGATAAGCCATAATGTAGCGCTATTTGAAAAACTTTTCATCGGTCATCCTTGGAGTCATATTGCTATGGTCATCGATACCATAGATGCTAAACTTGGTGGCAATGGACATTTCGTCGAAACGCAAATTATTTATAACGGAAATATTCCAAATGACATCAAAAATATGTTGCTTACTATTGGTAGGGATAAAATTTTAAAGGATTAAAATGAAGGTTCAAGATAGAATAATGGTCATTTAACAAACAATTTAATTCTTTTATATCATTTATGTCAAATTCTTACCACTAATCAATAATTTTATTAATTTAATTTGCTGTCATTTTTCAGTGAAAATCTCTCGTAACACGCAGTGGTATTTTGCGGAGAAATTACACGATGCATTGTGCAGTTCAAAACCTGACTATAAAACTATTATAAGGATCATTGTAAGTAGGAGTGAGGTTAACTTTTCTTACATTCTCTAATTTTATCTCAAAAATATTCACTTCGTTTTCTTCCGCAATAAATATTTCATTAATTTGTAATGAGCAGTGGGAATTATTAAAGTTTCAACAGATAAATCATTTAGCACTCGTTGAATGGATAATAATCTATCCATTTAAGCATGTAATAATTTAATAAAGTTCACATGGAAGATCCCTGATCTTATCATATCTCTATTATCAGTCATAAATTTTCAAAATCCAAGTTAATGCTTTGCTTTTTCTTTTTTTCTTCTTGAAGATTGTGGTAAACAGTATAATTTATAGATTGATTTATCGAATATTTGCTATGAATACATTCAGCACTACAACCATCCACTCATTTTTGATATCCGAAAAATATGTCGCGGTGAATATTATCAGTTACTCACTTCACTTCTCTCAGAGCAGAAGCAAAATTCTTAGATCTGATCTTTTCTGTTAATTTTCATAATTAATATATTTTATGAGATTTCCAGGTTATTTTTTACTTACTTGGTTTATTTACATGGTTTATTCAAAATGTTCGTATAATTCTTTCTCTTCAAATAAGATTCCACTCCAATCTATTTGTACTTAATGGAGGAATGAGAAAAGATATGTCAAAATTATGTTAACACTTCCAAATAAGATTTATACAATACTTATCACAATTAACTTATCTAACTTTTTTGGCATCTTATAATGTAATGGCAAACTCCTTTTCGATTAACTTGTTCTACTTGTCATCACATATTACGTGTTATCACGTTTCGAAACCTATCAGTCGGGAATGTACCATACTGCTACATTTGTTAATGATAATATGATATCTAAATAAAAATTGGAGGAAAGTTATGATACTATAAACTGTTGTGAGAAGCAATTGCATCGCTGAAATTTGCTATTCAATGCTGAAATATCTAATTCAATAGAATTGGCCGTATCATTTATGATTAGCGCATTTCCTGCTATTTGCTATTCAGACTCATGTCAAATCAGATTAATCTAAGAAAATAAATGTAAAAGAAAAAAATCTGACATTTTTTGTTTTTAATCTTAAATTAAGTAATGTAAAGTTGTAAAATAACAAAGACAATTCATATAATTTGATTTAAGAAAGACAACAATGATTAATTGTCAAAAATTGAAGCATCCGATAATAAATCAAATACGATCCCTAGAGCATCTAATAATAAGTTAAAATACCTATTAGGAATTGTATTTATTTAATATGCAGCATGCTAATTTGCAAAAAAAAGAGATATTTTATGTGTATATAAGATTATTATATTTAATTTGTGTTAATAAAAGGATTTTTATTATTATAACTTTTAGTATAATAAATATAATTGTTTTTAAGTGTGGCTTGTTTCAAGGTACAGAATTTTAAACATAATTTTGCTAGCTAATTATTGATTAGTGGGTTTTAGAAGATTTCTTAAGTTAATCCTTTTTGAACTTTTCCTATATTAAATACTGACTTGACATGAGCTTTTTTTAGTTCTTATCTGATGTATTTAACCTACCAAAGCTATTGTTATCATTTCAAAGATAAAAATTATTCAATATTATAAAATCAAAACAGAATGAGTTTATAAATGGACGAGAACTTTACTGAGTTTGTTAAGATCATTCTATTTATTCTAATTCATTTGAAATTAATCTAATTAATAGTACTTATAGTAATTCTTATCAAAATGCATGAATATAGACTAATTTTCATCAACGTATACAAATGTATAAATGTAAGCAATTTAATGAAATACAATTATTGTTTCATATTTTAATTTTGTGGTTGAGGTGAAGTTCGCTTCTGTGTTATTAATTCTGCGCTCTTTTTTCATCGTTACCAGTGTTTTATCAGATGCTAAAAAAGAAACCATCAAGTTTGCTTCCTTACTGATCTTTACTTCATGCCACAGAATAATCTTTAAAGAATTTACAATCGTATATTCAGTTTTTGTTCTGAAATGCTTTGCGAATTTATGAATTTTTGATCTATTTAAATAAGAAATGATTGGAAAAATTTTTCAATTTTTTTAATTGAAATTCTTGTCAAAAAAAAACGAATTTATAAATGTTATTATGGTAAAATTTAGATATTGATATTTAAAATTGTTTCAATATATCATTTGTAATGAGTGAACAATGAAAAAGATCTAACTCGTTTTGCATATTCGATTTTAGCTATTTGACTGTAGTAGAATCAGTGCTGAAACCATAATTTGTTTACAAATTTCAGCAACTACTGAAGGTCCTCAACATCTGGAAAAAGGATTGATTGTTGGTAAACGTTGGAGGATTATCGATAAGTTAGGCGAAGGTGGCTGCGGTGCGGTTTATAAAGTGGAAGATATCCAAACGTTTGCTAAAGTTAGTGATAATTTCTTTGATATTTTCATTTGCAGATTAGAAAAGAAAAATTAGGAAAATATTTCAGGCAGCATTGAAAGCTGAATCAAATTTTGTTGAAGGTGGTAGTGTTCTGAAATTGGAAGTACAGGTATATTTGAAAACTTCCTCCGATATTTCTGATACCACTGAATAGAATTTCATTTTAAATTGATTTCTAAATATTAATCAGTAACAGCATTAAAGTATGCATAATGAAAGATCTAGTTTAACATGAATTAGGAATTTAAAATGAAATTAAAAATGAGATTAAAAAACTTTTTTTTCGAATTATAAATTGCTTAGATTAGTAAAACATCATTCTGGAAGGATTGGAAGTCAAAAATGAATCCCTGGATTAAAGTTAATAAACAAATAAGCCTATAACTAGATTACTTCACTGTTCATTTTTTTCTCATTTCTGATTATTCCTTTGATTTCTAATTTTTATAATACAAAGAGAAATTTGTATTTATGATATGATATCTATGCAGATACTCAGGCGTTTAGAAGGTCGTAAATATGTGGTGCAATTATTTCAATCTGCTAAGAAGGAAACGTTAGAATTTCACTTACTTTTTCGCCTTCTTTTCATATTTTCGAATTTTATCAAAATTTTAAACAATCTTTACTTGCTTTTGTGATACTTTTACTATGATATAGTAACAGTACTCATCAAAATTTTCAGAAGATATAATTTTATGCTTTAATAATTGCTAACAAATCACAAATCGATCAATATTTTTACAGATATTCGTATATGGTGATGACACTTCTAGGACGCTCGCTTAATCAGTTATTTAAACAATATCCTATATGTACCGTTTCGACACAAGTTCGAGTTGGAATTAATATTTTACACGGTTTAAAACAATTGCATGAAGTTTGTTATTTACATTTTGCTTGTAGAAAAATTATAAATTGTAAAAAAAAGAAAAACAAAGACAAAGGTGAAAATTGAAATATAATACATTTTTAATAGGAAGTGAAAACTAAGCGATAATTAAGGTTGGTTACATACACCGAGATGTTAAACCGGCTAATCTTGCTATTGGTCGAAGAGGTCAAGCTATTCATATTATTCATATTCTTGACTTTGGCTTATCACGAGAATATGTAATACGAAATAATGGCAGTGTTAAATTACGAATGCCTAGAACAAATACTTTGTTTCGGTTTATATCTTTCCTAATTTAAAATAATTTTTCATCATAAATGACACATTTTTAATAATGCTTATCTACTTAATATTTATGAAGAAATCGTAGATTTCAAATGAAAGAATAAAAATGAATATCTGCTATCATTAATCTCTTAACTGAAAGCGGAACGCCAATATTAAAGCTTATTCTAATCTTTTGTTTAATGGTTAATAGTTGGATTATTGAAGATAGGACAAAAAAAAAAAAAAAAAAAAATTCACATTCGTTTCCTCTTGTCTTCAAAATTTTTTAAATTAAAAAGACAAAATTACAGCGGTACGATAAGGTATTGCTCAGCTAACACTCATACACGTAACGAACAAGGCCGACCAGATGATCTATGGTCGATGGTGTATGTTTTGGTGGAAATGCGAGGTCCGTTGCCGTGGGATAATATTCGGTATTCCTCGAACTTAATCCTTTCTTTCAAATTTTCAAAACTTGAATTTATTTTCAGCCAATCATTGAGCGTGAATGATAGTTAATTCAAATTTCAGTGGTAAAGATGAAATTGGTAAAGCAAAATTTCAGACACTCGATACGACATTGTGCAGTAATAGTCCCAAAGAACTTCTTGATGTTCGTTTTTGTTTTTTATGGAATTTGTTAGGTTAATTTTAAAAATTTGATTGGATAGTGAGCAGTTATAGCTTACTACTTTTCTTCTCTTCTCATTTGTTCAAACAATTCTTTTTCACTACTTCGTTTAAGTTTTAGAAATCATTGTATTTTTAAAAGTTTTTTTTTTTTTTCAAAATTTCAAATTTTCCAAAAATTTTTCATTCCAAATTTTAAATTCCTAATTTAATCTTAAGATTACAACACACCTTCGGACATTGGATTATTACACTCGTCCCAATTATTCCTACATTTATGAAAGATTGTACAAAGTGATGCAAAACTGTAATTACAAGTAAATCTTCCCTAGCCTTTCTGTAATTGTCAAATTTTAAAAGAAACAAAAAATGTATATAATTCACTATGTATGTATACATTAGGCAGAATAATCTTTAGAGTTTGACTTTGTAATAGAGATTTTATTAAAAACTTAAGCTATTTTTTAATTATGCTAGATTTTAAATAGTATAAAAAATGTAAATTTTAAGTTTATTGATGTGGAAAATAGAAGAAGCGCACAAATTTAATTTGAAAATTTCAAAATATCACTTTTTTATTCTAACCAATAGAGAATGTTATTGTGACATATCTAAGGTTGCATGATTATCTTATCAGATTCAGCGACCCGTATGACTGGGAAGCACCTAAAACAACTACTGCAAGTTCATTCAGGAAAGGTTTAACATATGTAAGCCGATCGCTGTCACGAATACGTCACTATAAACCATCATCAGTCGATATGTACGTTTCAAAAAAATCTCTCAAATTTCCAAAAGAATTCCTTTTCGATTTCTATTATTGTTACATTAAAATCTGATTGTAGAATCAGCGAATCAAAAAGTTCAAGGAATGGAATAGCTTCAGTGGCCGCCTCAGAAGTAGTAAGCGAGGATCTTTTCACGCCAGCAGATTTTGAAAGCAATGAAACCGGATTTTGATACCTTTTTTGATGCTATTATCATCTGTTATTTTATTATGCTTTCGCAATATCCGTATATTGTAATCACGAAAATTTCGAGAGTATTAAAATTTTTTTTTTTTGAAATTATTGAAAAAAAAAGGAAATTGAGATTGGATAAAAGGAATAATAAACATGAATTTCTGCTAAAATTTAAATGAAACATAGTTCATGATTGCTTATTCTGATTTAATATAGTTAACTGAAGCTGTTATGAAGTTGTCCTAATGTCGTAGTTACTTAAAGCTGCCATAGATTATTCTGATGATCTGTGATTATTTCGATTGAATTTGGAGTTGCTGAATAAGCAATCATTCTAGTAACTCTTAATTTATCAACATCATTAAATGTCTCCAAAACTTAAAATTATGACTCCCGAGAAAAAAGAACTTTCATAATTTGAAAAAACTTAGCAATTGATTTAGACTACAAGAAGATATATGTGAGTTAAGTAACATACCTGTAAAGTCAATTGTTTGGTTTATTTTTGATTTCTTGTCTGATAAGAGGTTTAGTGAAATTTTATGCAGTATTGACAATCATTTTATCACTTTTACGAGTTAGCATAGTATAATTACACGAGTTGATCATTCGTAAGTAGCAGTAAATATCTTCGTGAAGTACCTTTCCATTAAATTAAGATTAAGTAGAGACTTCGCACACACGTCATTATGACACCAATTAACATGCCTTGTTCAAAACACACCGCCACCGGGTTTCTCCCAATCGTATGGGAATTCCTGGCATCCCATAGTTATAAAGGACTGACGCATCAGTTGATAAATTTGTTGATATGGTGGTTGATCATAGTATTTAAGTGCATCAACAATTTGCAAAATTTGTCTGAGTTCTGGAGCGCAACCACCCAATAATTCATTTATTGCTGGCTCAAAGCGACATCGCTTCTTGTATTCGCCAACCTAAAATGATAAGTTGATTAGGAAGAAATGGGAAGAAATGTTATACCTTTTATTGCTTGAAATAATTCTTCATTCCAAGAGAGACAAGAAATCAATCTAAAACAAACTTGATTCATATCAGCGACATTTTTCCACGGCAAATTTCCGGTGGTAAGTTCCACTTGCATGTAAATCCATGTTTCAACATCATCCTTACGGCATAACTCACGTTGAAGATGGCATGATATAGGCGCATAACGTACCGTACCACGGAAACCGGCTGCCGCTCTTGGCTTACGGATAACATTCTATAAAATATAATAAATCGATTGCTTCAAGATAAAAATTAAAATTCTTTGTTTAATTAAGCAAATGAACTTATCATCATCATATGACCACATTCACAAAAATATTAATTGCCTGAGCATTCGTGAATTTTCGACACATCCCGAAATCGAGTACATAAATTTTGCGTAATTCATTCAATTCTGGGCGACCAATTGTATAGTTTCCAGGTTTTACGTCTCTTGAATTATATTTTAATTACATAATAATTTTGATATGAGCATTTCATCACAGAACTCGAAGAATTTATCACAAAGTTTTACTGAAATTGAAGTAGGAAGGATGCTTAGACAGGAAATGACTTATTGTTGAACGAACCTGTGAAGATAACCAATTGCATGAAGATCTTCCAGTGCTTCAAGCGCTTGAATTCCCGCACCAAGTGCTGTACCCATTGAAAGATGTTGCCCTGGACCTGCTTTTCGAAGGTCCTAAATTTTGTAAAATTTCCGAAGCTTCAATTTCTGTACTTTATTTATTATCTTTTCTACACTTCATATGTATCAAAGTAATTTCTAATTCTTTTTCAATCTTATTATTTTCATTGCTCTTTTTTTTAAACTACCTGCAAACTTTTGCCGACCAAAGTCATAACGACATAATTAAATGACCCAAAACGTCCTTTATCTTCAATTTTGCAAAAATGTCGATTGTTACGTTTATTCAATTCAGTAAGTACATATACTTCCATTTTGAGTACCTGAAAAATGTCTACCTGAGTAAAGTTAAACTTTTGGGAGATACACCGAGTTTTAATATCTACCACAAAGCAATGGAAGAAATGCCTGAATCTGTTCATTGACACCTTCAACTTTTAATGCATATTTTCCGGTTGGATCTGACACCTGCAGAAAAAAAAAAACTTTCTTAGATAGATTTTAAAATAAGTTTTTTTTTCAAAGATTTAATCAATTGCAATAATATTTTCGGTTTTTTTTCGGATCAACTTCAATAGCTTGAATGCTAGTGCATACCAAGTAAACGGCTCCGAAGCCACCCTCACCGAGTTTCTTATCGATATGCCAACGGTCAACCTGATCACCGGGATTAAGCTGCACTAGTTGCTGCGCCATTTCCGGAATTAATTTCTGTTTATGACTTACTTTTATAACTTTAAAATGACTTATTATATCATCTCTGACAGCTTTTATAATCTATTTTCTGCGCCTAAATTTGAATGTTATTTCAATTTAAAGTTCTTTCATTCAATCGTTCAAAAAAATTACTACCTATATGTATCATAAATGATTTATGCAAAATTTATGCTAAACAGTTTGATGATTTTTTCAGCATAAATTTTTGTACAAAAAGATGCTGGAAATGTTTTGTAGACGAAATCAACTATTCCACACAGTTGCAAACTTTCAATTAATTTTTTGCTTTGATGATGTATCACTTAATAAGTTCTTTCATTCTGTACTGATTAAATTAATTGCAATCCGTTATCTTATTGCAATATGTTTCTTTTTCCAGATGACCAAAATTGGTATATCATTAACACAAATTACAACTGATAATTTCAATGCTACAAAAAAGATTTCGAGAAAAATTGGCAACATCTTTAGTGTTCAGGTTGAATATTCAACATTTCGTAACAATGTAATATAATGCTAAAAGATAACTTTATCGATTAATTTCTCAAATTGGGACATTCACTATCAATTGATTCAAATATTTGTTAAACTATAAAAGTTATTAAAATATCTCAGTCAGATCAATACCGCTGTACAATAATGTCTCTTTTGAAGGACCTCCATTACTTCAAAATTAAGAATTTCATTCCAAAAAGAAAATGGTATTGATGATATTATTAAACTCGATATGCTTATTCATTTTTTTTTCTTTTGATATTCGTCAGCTTTAAATTGTTATTGACTTAAACAATAATGTCGAATTACATGCGAGTGTGTCGCAATATATCACAACATTTGAGGTTGGGAAGGTTTTGCTGATAACATCTGATAAAATATATCTTATGAATGGATCTGAGTAATGAATAATGAATCTTAAGTTCAAATTGATTGATTGAAATTAACGGTATCATTGCAAAACTGCTACAATATCCAAATATCTTTTTGAATTCCACCAAAATATGTTTGATTTTATCAAAGACAGCGCCACTTTATTTCCTCTATGCCATATATTCCTTTTTCAGCTAATTCATTTCTTCTAAACTAATAATATTATCTAGATTAATAAAAATATTAGAAAATAATATTAAATAGTCCATATGGCTAATTCTAAAAATATTTGCGAAATTCGCTTATTCTGACCGCATCTGACCCAAAAACATTTGGCGTATTTATCATTATACCAATATTCAGTGTATGCTTCTGCTTGCAGTAAATTCTGATCTAAAATTTGGAATATTTGAAAAAGTTATCGAATGTCATTGCCTGAAACTTCAATAAATTTCTAGAAAACTTTGTCAAAGACTAAAATTAAGGAAAGTATAAAGTAGTGAATGTTAATGTGAATGTCAACAGTGTTCTTTCATTTATTATATTTGCCATTATTTCTTGACAAAGTTTTCTAGAAATTTATTGAAGTATCAGACAATGACATTCCATTTTTGTATTGAGGGGACAAAAAGTGAAGATTCTTTCGAAATTCAATGTTTATGGCGCTGAAATTATAGGAATTCGAAACTTTTTTCTTGCTAAGAAAAAGACAAATGATACTAGATTACTGATAAGAATGATTCGTAACAGGCAATTATGTATTAATATTTGTAAACTATTTCAGGAAGAAAAGTAGAAGTCATAAACAACCTAATTATTTTGCAGTTATTTATAAGCAATTTTAGATCATTGTTGATTGCAAAAAAAAAAAAAAAATAAATAAATAAATAAACTGGTCAACGCTGACATAGAAGAGAGCCAGTTTAAGATGACATTCATCGTCAATTATTTTTTGCCATAGTTAAAAAAAACTCAAGCTCTCGATGTGCTATGACTAATGAGAAAAAAAAATAGATTTTTTTAACTTTTGCACAATTTCTTGTTTCTAGATCTGGCAATGAAGGATAACACCATTGCTACCTATATATATATATATATATATAATTAAGTAACGTAGTTGAGTATCATTTATTTTATTGTTTCATTGTATGATGGAGAATTCTGAGAAACACTTATGGGTAAAAATTTAAACAAATTTAGATGTTAAAAAAAGAAGTTAAAAAAAACAAGATTTCAGGTATTTCTCATTAGTTCAAAGGTTATCTGCATTCACATAATCTTTATTTCATTATGTAAATGCCTTGCAGACGTTCATAAGCTTATTTCAGACGACGATCCCTCTTTTCTACATGATGACACACCGTTAAGAGCAGAATAATTAACTGTGCAGGACAGATATCACATCAAATTTGCGACCGAAAAAAAGTGATTCCTGGAGAAAAATGAATGTTTTGGTGGCTAAGAAAACTGATTTTCCATTAATTATCATTGTCACATGAATACGTCCTTCATACTGAGACATTATCAAATCTTTCACATTTTCATGAGGCATTATCTTACTTGGAGAATGTTATGCTCTAAAAAACATTTGGAAACGTTTAATACTATAGCATAGATTGACAAAGCTGAATACGGCTGCGTTATTATTAACAACAAACAGAGGTGAGATCATATACAGAATAAAGCCATTCCCATACTTCTGCTCCGGATGGCAATAAAATATGATCAAAATATTTTACAAGTAAAAGCTTTCTAAAATTGAATAACAAAGGAAAAATTGGATACAGAAAGTTAGTGAAATCATCAATAAAACAGATCATAAAATAATAAATAAATTTAACAAATAATACAATTCAAAAAATACCACAACATTAAAAGTGCCTCAAATTGATAACCTTTCAGATTTTTTTACATATACCACAAATATATATGTTGTTCATAAAACAATGAATTTTAACTCGATACAACTTTTATGAGCACCGATGTTCATAATTTGCTAGAGGAGCTTTATTGGCAAATAATTTTAACCTGAAAAGACATTCATTGTCAGCGATAAGCTCGATTTATTAATAGTTGTTAGGAAGAAGCTAATTAAGAGCAGTACATAGCATAATAATAAAGGGACATCGGACGTCAATAAACAAATTGCTCAGTTTTCTTCATAATTAGCCTGGACTGCCTACAAAGATACTGAAGTCAGATACAGATCAGTTATGTAATCAATTGAACATCCGAGTTGTTAATTGAAACGCTTGAAGAAATCATTAATAAAAGGTTTATTCATATGTGCTGAATTACGATATGATATGGTTCAGACTACTTATATTGCTAACAGAATTCATTACCCAATAAAATCTCTGTAATTCATATTGCATTCGTCCTAGAAAGTATCTTAGATCATAGATATTTCTGTTCTGCCATAATGAAACATTCAGTGGAAAACGAAAGATTTTCTTAAAGAATTACTTTTGGCATTATCCATGTAATCGTCTCCATTTCATTCTATGTGCTTAAGCCGTCTTTCAAATCGTCGAATTATTGGTATCAATTTATCAAGTTCAAGTGTAAATAATACCTGTAAGAACGTTTGAAAAAGCCAAACTTTTCGAAAAAATTGGCTTATATTGGAAGAAATTATGAATATTATTAATAATAATGGAATTATTATTAAAACAATTCTTATCCCAAAAATAAACTAAGTAAACAAAGCCAGCTTCTTGATAATGAAATAATTAAAGTTCGAATCAGTCTTCACTTTACGGATCAAAACAGTAAAATTTTCACAATAGATGAAATAAACAAAAAAGAAAGAAATACTTAGGTAGCAGAATTATGGAAAAAAGGAATACAGAAATGGATGAAATCTTTGCATATTTGAAAATGTTTGAAGTAAAGAAAATAATAAGGTATTATCTCTTATTTACTTATTTTTGGAAAAAAAGATGGTAACAATTAAACAATAAGTTTTTGTAAATATTACATTGATACATCGGGTGGTCAGCTTGAGTAGATGAGAATATGCCTTGTTGTTGTGACTAAATTCCTCTGGTGAAGTGTATGCGAGTGCTCCTACACAAGCTACACTCAAATCACCCTCGGCATTATTGATAGTCCAATCTAGCAAGTAACTGATCAGAAAGAATTGCGGAGGATAGGTCTAAAATTACATTGTAACCAGCAAAACCAAGACCTAATTATTCTTGATTGCTTACTCAAAAACTATTTTATCCACTATATAACAATTGGTTGTGAAATAATTACAACAGTGTATATCTCAAAATAAGAAAAATGGCTTTATAACTATGTATCGTTAATCTCATATACACAACTACCGCATAAGCATCCATCTTTTTTCATTCTCTTTATAAAATATTGTCAGGAATTTAATCTTTCTGAAGATAACACATAAAAATAGTAATATTAAATATTCAAGCTTCCTATTATATATATGGAAATATAACACAACATTAAAGCTTGCTCCTTCTCTTTAAAAATTATTTATTCTAAAACAACCATTCCTACTCGCTCCAAATTTTCTTTCTTAGCAGAGTTTGAAAGCATTGATTTTTTGACTGTCTTAGCCACAAAGTTGATCATTCCGCTTGCATCAACATTCACTGATAGTTTGCCATCATCTTGCGCTTCATTTAATACTTTTAGTGCATGTCTTAATGCGCCGATTAGCTTGTGCTGATTGACACTTTAACAGAATTAACACTTGCGTAATATTTTCATTAATTATTAAAATTACATTATTCACACGTTACTCAACATTCATTTAATACAAGAGAATAATTATTTATCGCTGTCAGGTTATGAGACTACCACATCCAATTAATTTTCCTCTCGATACAATCAGCATAGTTAAAACGTTGAAACTCCGACTCATTACTTATAACCTTCCGATACTGATCTGAATTCACATGAAAATATTTTAAACAAAATAAGTTATTTGTAGTAAAAAAAAAAAAAAAAAAAAAAAAGAAAATTCAGCTGAAAAAGTAGAAAATTAAAAAAAAAAAAAAAAGAAAACAAATGAAGTCAAGTAGAAAATGGAAATGTTTACCTGCTCGATGCGGGATAGAAACTGAAAAAATAATTCAGGAAAGTGTATGGATATGGTTGGCATGAGCTATCGAAATATCGTAAAAGCAGGCCTGCCAATGCAGATGGGAAGCGAAGGCATCTATAATAAAGTATTTTGCCAATACTTTCAACCGCCGCAAAAGAGAGTTCAGCATCCTAGAAAGAAGCAAACTTACTTTTCGGTATTGATTTGTTCTTTATAGTACCAAAACCTATCCTCAACACAAAATGCATGCTTTGGCAAAATTATCAGTTTGTTAGCTTTAAAACAGGACTTTCTATCTATTAATCTATTTGTTACCATTATGAATATTTTAAAGTTATTCTCTGCAATTCATTGCACCTGTATTTTACTTATAAAAAGCAAATACAGAAAGTTCACATTTTCAGAAAAAGATTTACCTTTTTAAGGGTTAGGCTACAATTAGTTTATTTCATAATAAGAAATTTTAGGTCAAGGTTTCTTTTTAATTATCGATTTTTTTAATTTTTTTTTAATTAACTCTACAATTTACCTCACTAAATATAAATCCTTCAAAAACTTGTAAAAGCATTTGCCCCTTCACAATACAATTGTCTACAATTTCCGGATAATACAGCTGAGCAGTTGTTGTATAACTTCTCAAAATCGCACATGCAGCTATGGACGTAAGAGCCAATGCCTGCATTTTTTAACCATTAATTCATGTTTATCACCTTGAAATTTTTTTATAAAAATCAAGTTGAGAATATATATATCTACAATTTTTAACTTAGTTATAGTACATCACATCACAATATCTTTCTCATTAAAATTAAATGATTGATAAATTAATTAGAACCTTAACACGTATAGGTGCTCCTTCAACTTCAATGGCAGAACGTAGCACGTGAATTCGTTCACGGGCAATCTGTCCATCAATTGTTATACCAATACCAATTACTTCAGAAAGCGAAGTCCAAATCATTGGATCCAGAGTTGTGCAGTACGTGTCTACCTGTAACATGTTGGTTGAAAAATGGTGTCAATGAAAATGAATAGTTATTCCAAAATTTCGATTTAAAACACTTAAAATAGGACCATAAAAGTAAACATAATGGTCGAAATTAATGGTTGTGCACTAATCTCATGCAACCAATAAAGTCTTATTTTTGTTGCAAAATACAAAAATAGATAAAAACAAAGGGACAAAAATCAGTTGTAATTTTGCGAAAGATTTCTAAGAAAGTCTTGTTAATTGTTAATAGGATCGATTATAAGAATACAGGAACTGAGATGTGAAAGGAAAAAAAAAAAAAAAAAAACTGACAATCGAGTTTGAACAACACCGATAAGACAAACCACTTGATCAAATGCAGTTCGCAAAAAGGTAGTAACTTTGGCAGTAGAAGAATTTCGCATCAGAGCACGGAGCAACAGCAAAGCACGTTGTATGTTGTGACTTTTTGGCTTAAAGTGGAAAGATTATTTATGAATTCTCATCACTATTTACCATCGAACTTTAAAATAGCTAATACCTCATAACTGCTGTCGTTCTCTATAACTGACCCACATGACATGGCGTATTCTACGCCAAGCTTAGCCAGCAAAGCTCTGGCGAGTGGAAGTTCTTCAGTTTCATTCAGATCAGGTGTGAAAAAACTATTTATACGATAACAGCACCATTCAAGAAATTCCTGCAACTCATAATACAAATTATTTATAAAATCCACTATTACATCAATGACAAATAACAAAGGATATGTTCGAAAAGTATTTTAAGCTTTACGACTATTCAATTCGCTATAATACATAATAAGATAACGAAACGATTTTGTCAGCAAAAGTCAAAAAAATACAACTGCCGAGATTTGCAGAACATGACATCACTGATTAGGATGACAGAAATTTACACCAATGAAGACAATAAGAAAGATATTTTAAAATTCTGTATTTTTTCCAGGATATTTTTTTTAAAAAAAAAGGATTACATTGATAAAATTTAAAAAAAACAAATCACGAATAACAAATAACAGAAAATTTCAAAGTGTTGCTGAAAAATCCTTCGGACTAACCTCTACGTTCTTTTCCTTTGCATAGAATAAATCAAATAATTCATACACTGCAAATTCCAGAACTTTTTCCGAGTTTGGCAAATCTCTTGTCGAGATGATTGTTTCCAGCGTATTTTGCCATTTTTTCCTGAATTAACTGTAATTGAAAAAAGCTTGCATTAATGTAAGCTTTTTCAATTATTATTAATACGGATCGTTAAAGAAAAATAAAAAATTTTTTCCATTTACATTCCAACTCGATCCGTTTGATCAAACGACCGTGTCAACAAGCATAACTGAAAGATGATGCACTCCTCGAGAACTCCTTGCACTGAATTTGCAGAGGCAGTCCATGTAGCCAAACTACTGAAATTAACATAAAAACTGAAATTTTAAGATCTAAACAGACAAAGAGAAGAAAACCAGAAAATAACCAACTTTTTAACAACTTATTGAACTTAAATGAAAATTTAAGAAGGAAATGCAAAGAGAGATGGAAAGACGTAAAAAATGGAAAAAAATAAATGGAAAATTTCATTCTAAGCAATCAGAACAATTTAAACAAGTTTCCGAAATCTCCGGCACTTATGTAAAACTTACCAGGACCAAATAATCAATTATAATCTAAGAAATTATTTTTAACCAGTCTTGACTTTGAGAATTCAAAAAAATCACCAACCTATTTTTTGCGACTATTTTAAAAGACATTTTACCTGTAAACGAAGTCGACGAAATCAACCATATTTGGAAGCAAAGCATGCAAAGAATCAAAGCGATCCGCTTCGTCAACAGCATTCAACTGACAGTATTCACACAAACTTCGCCAAATATAAATACGACCGGCTATCACATACAGATTGTTATTAGAACTAAAAATACATTGTTTCTCGTTTTTGTTTCAGTGCTATACTCTTCGTTTACAATGACTCAGCTATAGTGGATTTCAATTTTCCTCAATTTGACGTCCTTTTTCTTTAATATGTTAATTGCAATGTAATTCACTATAAAACGAAATTTGGCAGACGATTTCATTTTCACTTAATATAAATTGAAATATAAAAAAAAAAAAAAAACTCACTGAATATTAAAAAATGATAACAAACTAAGCTATCATTAAATAAAACTAGTTTAACATAGCTTCAACTTCTCTACTAAGTAATATGAGCTGTGAGTTCCTGTATCAGTGTCATATTAAAGCTAATTAAGTCGAAACCACCTTTAGAAGCAATCACCAACGACCTGGGTGACAAACGATAAAATTTAAAACAAATAATCTGCGAATATGTCAATAATATGAATCATTATAGAAATCAAAAAAGTATTATAGAATCAGAATAAAACCTGTGGCGCATTTCGGCATAATTTCGTCGATCAAGTATATTATAGCTCACGAAATCAGCACATGGTGTCATACTCGTTACGACTGACTTAGCCTGTGCTGCATTACACAACTCACGCAGATTCGTTAACATTACGCTGGTTCGTGCACTTCCTATTTCCCGCTGGTAATTTTTGAGAAATATCATTAAAGCCTGTAAAAATATAAGTCTGAAAAAAACAAGCTGAATAACTGTTTGAAATGAAATAACTGCCTGCAATTTATTTCAAATTTATTTAATGATTTATTCAAATTTTATGCATTAACTGAATATCAGAGTTGCCATAATATAAGCATAAAAAATTGTCTGCCATTCTATAAATAATATAATTTCTACTGAAATGTTGAAAATGCAACAGAATTACAAAAATTTTTCGTGTGCCTGAAAGCTCAATTGCAGCAATATTAATCATTTGAAGGAATTCAATTAAAAAGAATTAAAACTGGCGCGAGCATAAGTTGTTTGTGAACAAACAAAATCTAACTCAGTAATGAAGAAATTTGGAAGAATAAAGTTTTAGAAAAATTATTTGTTTGCCTGTTGGCTTGTTTGGGAATCAGAGAGAAAATCGAGATGATCTAGAAGACTAAGTAGTGGTACTGCGTCATTTCCGGCCCAGTTCATAATCATCCGTTCAGTTATTTTCCGTAACATTGCTGAAACTTAATTTTCTCAAGGTTATAAAAGTAAAAAAATAGAGTAGAAGAATCTATCTCAAAGTATATGAATTTTAGGAATATAAAACAAGCAGTAAGCAGTGGTTACTGCGAAGATCCACTAATTTCTAGCGTACTTTATTATTAAATAGTACCATCGTCGCTCGTAAACGCAGTTTTGAGTAGCTGCATTCGCTGCTGAACGGTAAGTGAACGTACATGCAAACTGCATGCAATTCGACTAAAAGCAAGGCGACGAACATTGCTATCACTTTCCATCAAAATCATTGAAATGAATGTTTGAATATCGTTTTCAGAAAAGAGTGGTACACAATGAACTGCCTCTATGCGTACATCACGTGAAATATCCTTCAAAGCGTCAGTGATGTCTAAAAGTAAGTTTAAGAAGACATTTGCAGGTCTTCATATCCTTCAGAAAAATGAAACGCCATTGATACTGCAAAGGCACTACTGTGTGCAGTGGTTAAAGAAATATGTTCCTTGTTCAATTCACAGACATTTAGAACCAGAATTTCAGAAATCTCACACGTAATGGAGGATTTTCTAGTATTGCAATTTATATTTGTAATATAACTTTTTCAGAAGTAGTCTTTTATATCACCAACTTTTTATCATTCTATTTTACGTATCATTCCCTTGTTCGGAAACGCGTATTCCAACTTTTAGATTACCACTTAAATTTCGGTAAAATGTGTTCATAGAAAAATTCGTATAAAATTATCTTAACTGTTAATTAATAGACGAAACTTGACTTACACTTAGTGCAATCAAATCTATTTTCACCTTCATTTCTGTCATTAATTCTGCTGAAAATGGACAAAGAACGAATGACCTCGGCTCGTACAAATGGATTCTGAAGTTGTTACATGAACTTTATATGCTTGTAAAATATTTTGATCCAATCAGATCTAAATAACAGCTGGATGATTTTTCATTCTCTGATTAATCATAACACCTGCTAACATATAGCTACTAGCATTACCTCAGAAAAAATCAACTCCACCTTATCATACATCCTTCCCTGCAAAATTCTGACCAAATTATCGATCACTTCTGTAGGCAAACATGATTCCTCTTTACAACTGGTAGGTTCATATTCCGCTTCTATCTCTTCAATATCTTCAAAAATTGACGTTATCAGTCGGCAACATCTACATCGTGAAATATCGCAGACTGAGAATTGAATCTGAAACGGTTTAATGATCAGTTAGCCAAAACTCAAACTCTCTAATTTTATTTTAACCAGACCTGCTATGATACTAGTTGGTAATAGTTATGAATCTATTTGATGAGTAGGTAAGTGGTGATATTGAAAAAAGTCTAACTTAGATTTGTTCCATAATTTGTTTACTTAAACTGCATTATAATTACTTGATGCTTTGTTTGTGATATGTAATGTTATGAAACATACTACTCTTACATTTTCGATATGTTGCAGGAGAAGAGTGAAAAGTGGAGGGATAACTGTATCCTCTAAAAGCATTCTTAAGCTACATTTCACGAAAAACACAAGACATCGATCAGCGCTTTTGTCGGTTTGAGACTGGCCAGTGAAATACCAAAGCCACAACTCTATTTCACCCAATACAGCACTTATTTTCAATTCCTCCTAAATCCCTCAAAATTTCATTTTATTTTGTTTATCTATTTATTTATTTATTTTTTCTTTTTTGAAAAAAAGGAAAAGAAAGATAAAGTTTTGACATAAATTGATATGAGGAGATTCAAATTTTTCGGAAAAACATGAAGAAATATTGTACTGTAGAATAACAAAATTATTTGCACAAGAGCAAATTAACAGTTATTTTCTGAATTATACTTACAATCCTGTACAAAAGTGAAAAAGCGCAAAATGCACTCTCGAAAACGATGTTGCATCATTAAGCTACAGTTATTGCACTATTGATTTGCTTTCTCCTTCATGAAGATACTAGAATCGTTTCATCCTCTTTTTTAGAAATAAATTATTTGATATGAAATCAAACAAATCGTTACCTTACGAAACGCTTCACAAAGCTTTTCAATGCACTCCTCCATTTCACTGTTATCATCTTTATCATGGATCACAAGCAATAATTCCCGTATAAGTGGTAATTCCACGGGAATCTCACTACAGGGTAACTCTTTCATTGGAGTATCTTCGTTACGCTTATCTTTACTGAATCACTTCATGCAATAAAATATTTAAATTTACTCGAAACAAAAAAACCGCGCAAATGAACATCTCAAGAAAGGATTTTGCGGGCGCTTAATTACCACACCTCTTGGAATGCAAGAATTGGAGTAGTATATGCTAGCTACGAAGATAACTGCAAGACATCATTCTAGCACAATGACGCACGTGAAATGCAACGTGCGCAATCTAATTTATGCTTACAAAACGTGAAGTAATGAAGCATGAGTGACAATACAAGCTGAATTGCCTTTGTGCCATGTATGTCACATTTCAATCCTATCATTTCTTATTGTTTTATTGGAAGTCAACAAGAGAACTCTAAGCTAATTTTAGTTATTCAGGTTTGCGTGTAGTGCAACTATAGGTTACTCTGTACCTTTACTATCACTCTTTTTTAGGTAAATTTAAATTTATAAAGAGTATCTATCACGTGTTTCAAGATGGACTGAACTGAGTCAGAAGATATCATCAAATATGACTGGAAACTTCATTGCATGCAAAGTTGCTCCCTGAATTTGTTGTCTTACCTTACGCATTTCATCAACATCCATTTCACTTGTAACCATGCAGTAATTATATGTTCATTCTTAAGTCAATTTCGAATCACTTTAATCTTAATTTATGGGTTCTATTTACTATCATTGATGTGTCCCTCTCAGTCACTTCGTCAACCTTATCATGTCAACTTATGGATATCTCGATATATGACATTTATAGAATCTGTAATTAGACTATAATTATGTGTATCATTTTCAAGTTAATTTAATTATTTTGACCTTAATTTGTGGGTTCTATTTATTGGCAGATCTATCCTTCTCAATCAATTTGTCAATCCGAGTTATCATTCACTCATCATTTCGTCAATCCAAGTACTTTCTTCAATCATTTTTTCGACATTTCGAATATTTCATTCTTGTACATTCAAACAGTAATGATAGGAACCTAAAGAGAAACTATTTCAAGAAATTTAGCAAAATATATATCATAATTACACTAAAAGTTACTTATCTGACTTGAACTGTTAATTAGAATGATAAATAAACGATTGATTAACTAAGCAATTCATCAGACAAATTGCAAATTAAAATGAACTTTTGAAATTCTCATCTGAAAAGAATCATTTGCTAATATTTTTAAGTTTACTTATTTTCAATGTGTAACAAATGATGCTTTCATTTTAGTTAGTTTATGCTGCATAATGAACTATCACATTTAATAAAATAACATTTATTTGCATTAAAAAATAACATTAAAAAAATTTCAGTACAAGTTACTTTCTTTCGTACTTAATTAATAATGATAATACTATCGAAATTAATTCTTCTCATTTCAATGATGAATTGCACTGATATGGTTTAACTGAAACTTTTTTCACGCTGAGGTAAACTATGATGCAAATTTTAAGAAAGTATGAAATTAACAAAATTTTAAGCACCAATAATACATTTAGGATAAGATTCTCCTTAAAAAATTATAGTCATTTCAATTCAAGCAAAGAAATATATGAATTTTTATAAGGTCTTACTAGATTGTATTAGAACTGAAGCTTCGTTGCTGTCTAATTTGCCTACCGGAACAGGCTAACAGACGAAATTCCACCATCCGAAAATAACATAACGGCTGGCATATAGCATGCAAACCAGTGAGAATCTGTAAGTTTAATTTTCTTTTTGGCTGAAAATTTATAAATTTTAAAGAAAAAGTGAGCTGATATTGAAGATGCTTATAGTGATACGATGATGATTCTCTTTTTCAGAAACCGTAAAAGTGGAAAAGAATGGTATATAAGCTTGCTTCAGTTTCGATGACACTATTAATTCTTACCTGAAGACTCCATTTGATAAGAGCAAAATGGGATGGTACAACAATAACATTAGTGACATGAAGAATTGCTACCAATTGAATTCCCGAATAAGGAAGCAGGAATAATATATAAACAAATAGAACGGTACCAATAACAACCAGGTGTTTATATTTGCACATCAAATGATTTTTCCAATGACGACGACTTTTCTCGCTGTAATGTAACCGTTTTAAAATGAAGTTTAGTGAGTAGATCTCAAATAATGAATACCTGTTGTTTCTGCTGAAAACAGATTGCAATGAATTGGTTCTGTCCGAAGTTAGTTTAAAAACTGAAACATTTCGTTTTAAACGGAGTGGAAGAGATAAATCTGAAATGAGTATTACAGTTTGTGTTATAGCAAATATTACTGTTCAACATTTTACAATAATTCATCTGCGGTGTAAGAAAAAAAATGAAAACAACGCTGAATTTCGATTTAATATTTTTTTGTTTTTTGGTTTAATTAGTTGCTTGCAATAAGGTAACTTACCTTCATTCATAGAGTTTGCTTTACGAAGGCGTCGTATTGTACACATTATTGAACCATAGGAAAACTTAAAAAAAGCTTCGGACAAACTTTAGAAAAAGAATGTTACAAACATCTGAGAAAGTTATTCTGTAATTAGTTAGATTCAGATTCTCAGATTAAGTTAATTTTAAAGTTTAAAGCTTCAAACGTTTATTCTTTTACATTAATCCAATATAAAAATGTCTTTTATGCTTGCTGTGTCTTCTCATAAAATTGGTAATTGTCTTCCGTAATTAGTGTGAGAGAATGTAAGAATTATTCAAAAAGGTGTAATTCTAGAAAATTTTTGCTACTAAAAAATAGAATACGAAAATTATGGAAAAGAGATTAAGATTTCAAGTTTGCTGTTTACTATTGAGCATAAAGAGAATATATCCAACAGAAGATGACAGTCGAAGTATGACAGCTGGAAAAGTTCAGTTTTGAATTTCACAAGCGTAAAAAAAGTGAAAGGAAATTACCAGCACAATAAGTAAGCTTAAATAGCAGAAAAGAAAGGTCACGAACATTGATGCAATATTGACAAACATTAGCGCTGTTCGACGATTCGTTATGCGCCCTAGAAATATGAATATTTATCAAATGAGGTTAGAACAAATTATCATTTAATTTATTTGTTATTTCAATAATATGAAATACAAGTAGATGAATAAGAAGTAATTTATAAAGTAATGCTTATTACTTTATAAATTACTTCTTTATAAGAATTTAATTTTTGAACAGATTCGATGCAATTTTTTTTTCAAAATTACGTGGAATCATTTAGTAAGTATTACTAGAATTGCTTATCGTAATCACAATAATTTAATTTCAGGATTTCAGGATACTTTATTTTTCTTAAATGGATTATCATTTTCCATTATGATTTAGGATTGTAGAAAAAATCAGTGCTCCTAAAGTGAAGAAAAAAATTGACAGAATTAATTCGAGAAATACTACAATCAAACAAATAATTCGCTTCTTTTTTTCCTAATCAAAACAGAAAATTTCCAAGCTGTATTTGAGGTAATTATATTCATCTATAAATATGATATTTTCAAAGTTTTGGGATTAACAAGCTTTAATTTCTCATAAAAATAAACAATGTACAATTACTGCGCATGCCAGTGCTGTAGAAAGTTCCGTTGCTTTGATAATTATTATCATTACTTATGGTAGTTGCTTGCGAAGATTTGAAAAAATTCGAAAACACTAGTGAAACAATACCAGGTATGAAGCTTATTAACCAACTGCAATAATTAGAAATGGTGAATAAATGAATGAAAAATTTTGGAATTGTGTAATAAGTTAGTTTCCATGAAGTGAAAAGAAAAATTGGTACTATTGATTTGAGAATTACTGTAATCGAATAAATATTTCATTTCTTTTCTATATGATTGCTAAAAGTTATGCTTGAATGATTTAGCCCTCTAAATAGCTTTTCGTAGCTTTAATCTACTCAAAAATTCTAGAAAGTGGATCTTCTAAAAGCTAACATCTGCAGCTACAACTACTCATTAAAAAATTTTAAAAATATTTTACCTAAAAAGCAAATAAATGAGAACAATACGTCTTCTGAAGCGATGTCTATAAAATAATGGATAATGTACCACAGTAAATTCATTACAAGTGAATATCAGTAAATTGAAAATTGTAAGTAAATTACAGGAACGCAATATCATAGTTGTGAATTTGCTTATCTGGAAATGTTAAAATTATGCGAAAATGCGAGCTAATTGTTCATTATTATCAGCATTATGCTAATTTAAGTATTTTGTTGTGAGTTTTTCTCTCAATGATATCAAATCATTTACCTTTAAAATCAACAGACGATCATATATAGCAGTATAGTTACTGATAAGAGTATGAGGTAAGCCCCAAATAATTAGGCAACAACCTCTCAACAAATCCACGATAGAACAGTGAAAAACCAGAATGTAAAAGATATTCTTGAGAATCTTTTTTCGATGTCTAATTATAATACTGATTATAAACAAATTTAATATGATACATAGACATCCCAATATATCACATAGTATCACAGCTCCTGATAACATGTTATTCTGAAAGCAAAAGCACTAGAAAATTTTAGTAAAATTTAAGTGATCCATTTGTTGATAAATTTTTAGAGACGAAAATCTTTATGAAGAACTAGAAGAATAGCGGATAGAACAACGGATGAAAAGTTAAAGTAATTTTGCAACTGTTCAAAATAACTTATTCAAAGTATTTGACAGAGTATTCCGGATTGAATACTTATTTGTCTTACAATTCTTTTTAGTTGAAAAGTTGATGAATTTCGGTAGTGCTGATGAGCAAGTGTTGTGAGATACATGAAGTTTGTATTGTTCATATTATCCGAATCCTGAAGAACACCAGATATCGATATTATTTATTTAGCAAATGAGGGAATTCATAAGTATTAATAAGAAAACTGATAAGAAAATCCTAAACATATTTTAAAAGAATTTTATTAATATACATTTCAATTTCTTGTTTTTCAATCTCAATCAGTCTTTTTTTTAAAAAAAAAAAGAAATTATCTCTGAAGCATAAATTGCAAACTTAAAACTTGCATTGTTGGATGGAAAGTGCATAGTTATGTGTTGCACAATTATAGATGAAGTGAGACAGATCAGTGAATAAAATCAATTATCAGTTGACACAACTAATTCTGCTCAGTTGCGTTACTCTCAGATATTTTTATTTTTCTATTTAATTTTAATTAGTAAGAAAAGCAATGAAATTGCATTCAAAACTGCCGTACAAAACAAAAATTCTTCTGAAAAATATGCTACTTACAAATAGAAAAAAACTGCAATCACACTAAGATGTGATAATACATAGCTAACCATATTCTCTTGTGACAATGCATGGCTAGCCATATCTTCTTGTGATAAGACATAGCTAGTCATAGCTTCTTTTGATAAGACATAGCTAGCCATATCTTCTTGTGATAAGACATAGCTAGTCATAGCTTCTTTTGATAAGACATAGCTAGCCATATCTTCTTGTGATAAGACATAGCTAGTCATAGCTTCTTTTGATAAGACATAGCTAGCCATATCTTCTTGTGATAAGACATAGCTAGTCATAGCTTCTTTTGATAAGACATAGCTAGCTATATCTTCTTGTGATAAGACATAGCTAGTCATAGCTTCTTTTGATAAGACATAGCTAGCCATATCTTCTTGTGATAAGACATAGCTAGTCATAGCTTCTTTTGATAAGACATAGCTAGCCATATCTTCTTGTGATAAGACATAGCTAGTCATAGCTTCTTTTGATAAGACATAGCTAGCCATATCTTCTTGTGATAAGACATAGCTAGTCATAGCTTCTTTTGATAAGACATAGCTAGCCATATCTTCTTGTGATAAGACATAGCTAGTCATAGCTTCTTTTGATAAGACATAGCTAGCCATATCTTCTTGTGATAAGACATAGCTAGTCATAGCTTCTTTTGATAAGACATAGCTAGCTATATCTTCTTGTGATAAGACATAGCTAGTCATAGCTTCTTTTGATAAGACATAGCTAGCTATATCTTCTTGTGATAAGACATAGCTAGTCATAGCTTCTTTTGATAAGACATAGCTAGCCATATCTTCTTGTGATAAGACATAGCTAGTCATAGCTTCTTTTGATAAGACATAGCTAGCCATATCTTCTTGTGATAAGACATAGCTAGTCATAGCTTCTTTTGATAAGACATAGCTAGCTATATCTTCTTGTGATAAGACATAGCTAGTCATAGTTTCTTTTGATAAGACATAGCTAGCCATATCTTCTTGTGATAAGACATAGCTAGTCATAGCTTCTTTTGATAAGACATAGCTAGCCATATCTTCTTGTGATAAGACATAGCTAGTCATAGCTTCTTTTGATAAGACATAGCTAGCCATATCTTCTTGTGATAAGACATAGCTAGTCATAGCTTCTTTTGATAAGACATAGCTAGCTATATCTTCTTGTGATAAGACATAGCTAGTCATAGTTTCTTTTGATAAGACATAGCTAACCATATCTCCCTCTGATAACATGTGGCTAATCATTCTTCATTTATTTGCACATTTGACTATACCAATGAAATTGGATAACAAAATCAGAGAGGAGAACAAGAGAAAAAAATTGTCAATGATTTTGCGAAAATACTTAAAACTATATAAATTGTCAACTGAAATCTCACTCTATCCTTTGAGCTTCTTCATAATCCACTTTACTTTTTCAAAAATTACATAAAAGCAAGAAAGAATTGTTAGCATAAAGGAGAGATAATATGCTAGAATAAGCAAAAAGTGGCATTATGCAGTCTTAGCATCATAAAATCCTTTCTGAAAAATGCACAAAAGTGATTGAATAAACAAATTTATTTTTTTTTTCTTGCTAGCTTTAAAAGATTAGCTTATTTCTTTAAAATGATGGTAAAATTTTCTTTTTTGTATCATTTCTTCTTGTCTATGACGAGATTTAATCACTGAGGATGCAAAGATGAAGAATTGAAGAATGAGAAGTGCTAAGAATTCATTTATGTACTAATAAAATGAATGATAAAAACGAATCCCAAAATGTATGTGACATTATAAGTTATCAATTTGAGGTTAGAATGATGATAACAGATTTCATTGACACTCGATGGTTTCGATGATAATGAAGAAAATACCGAAAAGAGCGATCAGTTGGCACTTCTCTTTCTCAAAATCATACATCTTTGTCATTATTTCTTCTTATGCTTTCTTTCAGGGCGATTTGATGGGCTGCAATGAGTTAAATTAAAACGCTCTGTTGAACTTTCTTAATTATTTAGTAAACACTTAACAAATATTTCTCTTAAATTATCTAGTATCATCGAAATCTATAGAATCTAAGAACAACTAATACCTGATATCAATTAAATAAGTTACACAGAAGCCAATTTGCTTTAATTTTCTGGTTTTTCATATTTGAATAATAACCAATATAAGTTGTAGAATATTTAAATATTTGAAAAAATTACATAAAAACAAACGATTAATTTGTAAATTTACAATTAAAACGTTGAAAGTTAAAAATATGAAATAACTGTAACACGCTGAACAGGTTGAAATCACTTCAGGAACAGAGAAGAAAGGTAGGAGATCAAGAAGATGAAAAAATTCTTGAAATGAAGTACTAAAGGTCATTGTCCTCATTTATTTATGGTTGTTGAAATGCATTGTTCATTGGTGTCGACGCATCCAATATCAAACTGTTTAATTGTACCAAAATATATCCAAAAATTTGTCCCCGGCATATTTATCAGATTGAAATTTCTTATCAGCTAATCACACGATTATCTTCTTGTTTAATATTTAAAACGGATCAAAAATTTGTGTCACATTAGGATCAGAGCAAATAGTTTATTCATTTAAGCATCATTTATTATTAAATTTAAATACAGCTATAATTCTAGGATATTTCAGGCTTTCAAGTTGTAATAAATTATAATGTCATATTGGTATTTTAAAATTAGCATTTGTTTATTTATTAATTTGCAATATATCTCATCCTAACTTTTATCTCCTCTAACTTTATTTAAAACTTAAAAAGGTTACTCCTAATTCTACCAAATCTTTCACTCATTTCAAGCGTAATTCTTATCATTGTCATTATGATAAAGTATCAAAGCTAATCACTATCAAATCAAACTATTCATTTTTAACGCTATTATAAATATTCTTTTCGTACAAATAAATCGTTTACATCTGTCTTTTTCGTCGATTAAAAAAAAGAAAAAGAAAGCTATTCATTGATGTGTTTAACAAAGTGAATTTAGTGATAAGGATGGGATGGAAATGTGTTCAACAACACATCAATATCACCGATAAAAACCAGTAGACACCATTTAGTGACTGTTTTATTTCGAGGAAAATACATATCACAGTTGTTCTGTTTGCTTAAACTCTTTTCACTACCATTTCTTTAATCATTCCATACAATCAGCAATCTCAACTAAAATATTTTTTTTTTTTGAAATTCCATTTCTTTTCTTGTTCTCATTATTTTCTAATTTCATAACAGAAACGTTAAGATAATTTTCATTATTAATTTCTAATTAATTTTAAAAATCAAAATTTTTACTCATTTATAGATAAAAATGGTTTGTTTTTATTTTTGCTATTACTTAAGCCTATAATATGCTTACTTGTGATATTTGCTTCATAATTAATATTGTGATAAATTATTAATAACTTTGAAACTATTCAGTTTTATTAAAAGTAACATCATGCAATTTTTTTTTTTCAAATTTTTACAAATTAATTCCATTTTATTTCAACACTACCTGTCATACAGATTATAATAGCATTAAAAATATAGGTTATTGATTGATTTCAAAAGTGTCAAATATTAACAGTCATCTTATTAAATAAATTTTATAAATCTTTTCATTTTTTTACAATTATCTTTTAGTGCAATGGTTATTTGAAATTTATGAAATGCTCTTTTTTTTTTTTTTTTTTCTTATCGAAAAATGTTGTTAGAGCATAAAATGAAAGAGAGAGAAGCTATAAAGCTATTTGTTGATTTTTGATCGTTTTTGCATCGTTACAGAGTGACATTAGAAGTGAAATGTTAGATGAACGGATAACAATTAGATTCACTGATTTGCTCATTTAATTTAAATTATTTATTCTTTTTTTAATTTCACTTAAAAATTTTATTTATAGCAATTTACCTTTTTTTTTATGCTTTTTATTCACTTCGCTTAAATCATTTCTTTTTTTTTCTTTTTCCATTATACTTATTACTTAATCTTTTCTATTATTTAATTTCGACAAATTAAAAGAAAATATTATGGAGGAAGTAATTGTAAAAAAAAAAGTCAAAGATAGAAGGGATGAAATGGTATTTAGTTTACTTTACTGCCAGCATTTGAAACTCCGTTCTTTTTTTTTTTTTAGTATTTATCTTAATGTTATCTTATTCTGGTTGACATATTTTATGACTGCAATAATTTTTTGAAATGGTGAAATATTTTGAAGAGTTTGTAAGTTATTTTTTGCAAAAATAAACAAAATTTTGAAAACGATTATTTTTGGATCTAATTAATTCAATACTGAATTTTAACTGAAAATATGCAATTGATTTTCAGCATTTATTGATATTATGGATGAAGATAATGAGAATCATAAAGTATTAAAAAAAAAAGTATAATTGTTGAATAAATTCATTGCTATTACTTCAAATTCTGCAATTTATAAATTATTTAAAGGACAAAATATAAATGAGATTTTAATAGAATTTTTGAAATTTGATAAGTTTCAGCATATTATTTAAAGGGAAATGCCTCTATCGTTAATACAATTTTTAAAAGTTAATATTTAATGATTGGCA